AAGAGATACACTGAAGATTATAATATCTTATAACTGAAGATTTTATTATTATATAGTAATATAGACTGCTGTCTATTATAGCTTTCATATTATACATATTATCAATCATAGTAGATATAAGAATTATATTCATTATTATTTTCTCTTTAAATTATTATTATTCAATCTCTTTAAGCTTCTATTTATAAATTTAAATAGAAGTTTATCTTTTTTCTATTTTATCAGAGTATTCTTATAGTTATCTTCTGAATCTTTCTTCACTGTAATATAATTAATACAGACAGACACTGATTTATCTTGTAAATAAGAAAATATTAATCTTTCTCTTAATTAAGAAGATATATAGATTAATCAGTAGTTGAAAGCAATGTACTCTGATTAGTTACAGTTAATACACACTTCTTATTAATATTAATCAGTAACTTCTTCAGAAGTGATCTTAGAAACTTAGAAGTCTGTTCAGATAGCAGAGACTCTTACTTATATATAGATATTTAAATCTACTCAATTTATAACATCTACATTATTATTATTCTTTAGTATAAGTATATAAGTTACTGAGATATAACATCTTCTATTACTGTTCTATATACTCTTAAGCTTGATAAGACAGTTATTCAATATCTGAAGCTATGTATAAAAGTCTTTATAAGTCTGATCTTCATCTACACTTATAAGAGTCTGTAAGAGTTTAAAAGTTAATATCTTTTTAAGTATACTAATCTTTATTTAATTCTTTCAAGATTGATCTTCTACTTCTAGAATTTTAATATTGAAGTCAGAGATAAATATTATAAGAAAAGTATTTCTCTGTCAGATACTCTGTAATTAATCTAATACTTTCTATTATATAACAGTGTCTCAGAACAGAATATCAAGATATTTGATAATATTATCAGATATTTATAACACTGATTTACATACTTTTATTCATAAATAAAACTTCTATTTTATACAATTCTTTAATTATTCATTGATATATTAATCTTGATTAATTAATAAACTGATGATATCTTTATCTATACTCAGTTTCATAAGCATTTTCATTCTTTATAATGAGTAGAGAGTGAGATTAGAAGTATTGAAATATATAAAAGTATCTAAGTATTTTTTCAGTACTTTTATATTTAATTCTGTAGATATTGAAATTATATAAGTTAATTATTAAATCTCTTCATATTAAAGTTGTTAAGTTATATATATATCTGTTATCTATTACTGTTATAATTTCAATATTACTCAGAGTTACTGTAATATTATCTCTATACTTATACTTAAGAGTTCTCTTATATTATTATTAGATATGATTATATCATTTTATTAAATATATAATATCTATGAAATCTGAAGTAATATAATCATATTCTCATATATCTGAGTATTAGAACTTTCAGATCTTTCACTGATATTCTCTTATAAAATCTTACTCTCTTTATAAAATCTTATTACAGAGTCAGAGTAACTGATAAGTAAGCTTTTATCTGAGAATTCAGTATTCACTTAACTGTTTAACTATTTCTCTATTTCTTATATATTATTATATATTCAGATATCTTTCAATGAATAATTATTTTTAATAAGAAGATAATGCATGAATAATTATTTTTAATAAGAAGATAATGAACATTTTTCTAGTATAAGAAGTCTACACTGAATAGATTAGTATAATATTGATAGATCTTATATAATAAAGAGAAAAATGTTAGAGAAGAAAAGAAAGAGAAAGTGTGAGAATCAGTAATTAAAGTGAATATTTATATATGTATGTAATAACATATGCAGTGATACTTCAGAGTGAAAGAATATACATGTATTTATAGTAGCTGAGAATCAGTGATCAGAATATACACATTTATAACAGCTGAGAATTAACAATCAGAAATAAGATAGTAGAAATCTATGAAGTGTATGAAATAGTCTATATAATTAATCAGACGCAGTCTGTTATATAGATTATTATTCAATACTTTTCTATAATAAGTTAATATTCTCAGTTCAGTATATCTATTCAATTAATTAATTAATTAATCAATCAATCAGTTATTAACTTATTAATATATAAACTAGAGATTATATTCACTAAATCTCTCTTATAAAAGAGAATATTATTCAATATTAAAAGATAGAGCTTAATCAGATTATAATTATATTTATTTATAAAATAAAAGAAGTTAAGTAAATTTTCTTTATACTTATTTCTTTATATTATATTATACATAATTATTTACTAAATTTACTAATTTTATAAGAGAATTCTGATAATTACACTATTATCAGACTACTGATAGTTTAAAAAACAGTATTATATAATATTTTAATACAGAATAGTAATAAAAATAATAATTATTTAATATATAAGTCTTAGATAATAAGATATTTATATTATAATTAAAATATCTTATTTCTTTAGATAGAATAGATAATTAATAAATAGCAGTTATTGTACTGAGTAATAGATAACTAACTAGCTTAATAGTATTAATTTCATTAACAGAACACGAATGGTTAATGCGGCCACCCGGTAGCACCTTGGCGTGGGAAACCAAGGCGCGTGGGTTCGAAACCCGCAGGGGATACATTAAATCCGGAACTCAAGCACCTCAGGTTCCTAATAAATACAGAGGTGTACAAATCGCTCCAATGAATTGCTCTATGTTCCTGGGCTGGGAAGTTATTATCGCATGTATCTAATTGTCACTCCTTTGTATTTTCCTATGTTCTTGTTATCTTGGCATGGTCTCAACACCTGTATTTCCTCCTGTATAATCAACACTTGGCCTGTATTTAACATCACGCAAGGACTCATCATAAGCTCCGCTTGCATATGAGTATAATGGAAGAATAATAATAATAATAATAACAGTATACAGTGTCTTATAGTATCTTAGTAGTATTCTGATAATAACATCTGTCAATTGCACAGTTACTGAGTAGTGTCATGATAATATTAGAAAGTTCTGCACTGTCTCAACATCATCTTGACATTTAATATTCAGTGATGTGTTGCTGAATATAATAATGGAACATGTGTTATGATCGGCGACATGTGACACGGGTGGAATGGTGGATCCACGGTGTAATCATCCTACGTTCTTCCCATATGGTCCACGGGTACATCTACCCTAATCACGTGCCACCCAACTTATATATAGTTTCACCCTAGATAGATTATAGATGACAACGTTATCCTCTAACATATGTTATTATAACGTAGCTAGCTGCTCTCATAATAATAGAGGGATCAACCTTTCCCACCTACATTGTAGTCCTCGCCCCGACGGGTTTAGCGCCGGCCCACCCTAGTCTAGCGTTCTAGATAATTACCAGGTCCATTTAAAATCTACAGCTTACCTGCGAGGGAGCAGAAACATAGCAGAAACATTTCACAAACCCAAGTCAGCGCGCTCATCAATTGTCAGCCTCTTCTGATAGCCTGATTCAGCACAATTTCCGGATCCATCGGTTATCAGGTGGGTTGCTGAGGTCAGTAGTCTTCCCTTTGGTGAGAGATAGCTGCCAATGCTCTCTCTTTCATTTCCAAAATTTGCCCGTGCTAACATCTGGTTCTCCTCAAGTATCTTCATTTTGTCTGACATCGGAATGGAGGATCCCTGCACCCTTAGGCCCAGCTGTGCCACTGTTGTTCATTCACCAGACGAAGTCTTCAACATTCAGTCACAGGAGCGGGCGAATGTCTTGTCTGAACTTAGGGATGCGATTCAACAGGATACTGTGAAGGCGTCACTGTGGGGCTGTATGCAAGTATGCGATATATTGAAGCTACGCGAGCTTGTGGCGACCGCACGAAACTCGCCTGCCTTTTTCTCTCTCCTCAGTGATAACTGTCTGTCCATTCCTTTACGTTGGATGCAACGACCTCCCCGCGATGGCCTATCATCAACACACTCAACCCTTTCCTCTGCTGCGTCCAATACGCGCTCTCGTCAAAGCGATCGACTCGAAAAGCCAAAAATACTTGCAAAAGAACGCGATGGATACTCATGTGTTCTCACAAAAGGAAGCGTCCATGAAGTGGCGCATATCTTCCCACTCTGCATGATCAACAGAAGACCGCCAACCAACCTTGATGCTTCCATCCCCTCCTTTTGGAAGCTACTCGATTTCTTCTTTGAATCAGATCGGCTAAATCGATGGCGCGCAGAAATATTCAAGGACCCCTCCAACCCTTCCAAGGCTTCAGATGGCTGCCATAACATGATTTGTCTCAGCCCTACAGCACATAGCTTGTGGACAAGAGGCATGTTCGCGCTCCGGCCGATTTCCATATCCGATGATCACAAGGAGCTTGCCGTTCAGTTTTACTGGCAGCCCAGACCATCCCATGGCCGTTTTGATTCTGTGAGCATCCTAAAATCTCCCGAATCATCCAGAAATCTTGTTCAAGTGGGGGGGAACGTACTCGCAATTGCCTCTAACGACACTACGGCGGAGATCATCAAATCTGGTGATACCTTTATCTTTCGAACTACCGACCCGAATACCCATCCTCTCCCGAGTTTCGAATTGCTTGAGATGCAGTGGCACCTTCAGCGAATTGTTTCAATGTCTGGTGCTGCCGAAATCTACAATGATCAAGACGACGGTGACGACGATCACTTGGATGCTGGTATCGCCCACAAATCCTTCTCAGACATTCTTTCGTGGGTTCCTCCACCGTTGTCTCACTCCACTAGTGATGACGATGAACCCAATTCCTCTCTTCCATCTGTTTCAACCAGCCCATCCCCCTTAAAGACCCCTGAGTACCAAGGAAAATATTTATCCGCTGAGCGACACAGTGCTGAATTAACTGTTTCTCATGATGTATGCTCTCCGAGACTGCACTAGTATGAATGGCTTATTTTATATTTTTATTTTTCCCTCCTCACACCTTCATGGAAATCAACACCAATCACTCCTTAGTCCCATAGGTCGGGCTATCAAATATATTATTAAGCAACTTTTAAAAGGATAACCATATGCAATTGACATGTGCTTTTGCAAAATCCTCTTAACACGGTCACCAATTGTGGTGTCACTCCGTCCCCAGCAGTAATGTTACTATCATATCATAGCTCTTGACTTGGACTTGTTCATTCGGAATTTTTCTGCCTTAAGATTAGAGATCACAAAAATGACCACCTCACACTCCCCTCCAACACCTCTACAGCCGTCCGTACCCTCCGGCCGATTCTGGATTCAACGTCTTCCTGCACCTTCATTACCCCGCAGGGTCAAATTGAGGTGCTTCCATGTTTCCAGGACTCGCATCTGGTTCGAATCCTCTGCCGTTCATGCCTAATACTGGTCTTGGTGATGTCCCCGTGTATGGTGTGTACAACGTGATCGAGATTGTCGAAAGCCCCACAGAATGCAGTACGGTTCGTGTCCAGAGTATAGTCTCCTTGAAGCGAACCATATCCTCAATGTAGACTGGCGTGTTCTTGTGCACCTGATCTGTAAGACTGTACTTGTCGGCCAGATATCACAAGCCCTGTACGTCAGAGATATTAATCTAGAGTGTACCACATGCGGAGTGGGATCAGATTATATCAACATACTCGGCAAATGTCTTTACTCATTTCTTTGCTGATGGGATTGTTTATCGCCTTCTTGTATTATATTTGAAAGTACTTCCAGTCCGCCTCCAATGCACCAGTTGTCTTGATGCATCTGAGCTTGCGGCCGTCTGTTATGCTTCAGTTTCCTAGAATCAATGGAAGAAGCGTGCACATCCCTCCAAGACACTAGTCTGATGATGTTCTCAGGATCACACCATTTGGGATTGGTGCTGAACTTCATCGTGCAGTATCTTCCTGATGTTAGTGCTGGACACAGCATCACAATATAGTGACATGCTTCGCTGGATGCACTGCTGCCAGTGACCCTTCACCCAGTCCTTCGGTCTCTGGGCCTTCTTGGATTCCCAATAATCTAAGGCAACATCTGACAGATCCTCATCCGTGTTATCTGGGGATCCTTATAGTAGTCAGGGGAAGGTTCATATTGACTGAGTTCTCTGTAATGTGTGTTAGCAGTAATATTAATGCATAAATTTCAAACTTACGGCTGTACCCAAGTCCAGTACAAGGTGGCCCTAGGCCTGGGTCAGTCAGGTCGGTCTCAGACATGCTGTCAGGCCCGTCGCTTGATTCCATGCGGAATGACACATCAACTCTATCATCATCATTATTGCTGCTGGCTGGTCATATCATCAGCTCTGGAGGTGGTAGGGTGAGTCTGCGCTGTGTCATTGTAGTCGCCTTTCCACGTGCCGGCGATGATGAATGGGGCGAGGCCGGCGGCGGGTATTGTGAAAAGGGGGAAAGTCTTCAACAACGACAACAAGGCGACAATAAGGAGAGAGAGTAGGAAGAATAAAACGAATGATGGAAGCAAGGGCAAGGGAGAGTGTAGAAAGAACAGTGGCATACAGGCTTTCGGCAGAAAGGGTTAATTGGAGACTGTTTGATTTAGAAGTGAAGCCATCATCACTGACAGGCGAGCAGGGGTATTGATCTATCGAGGGTGACTGGGGACTGGGATGTGGGCTCTTGTGGTCATCCATTTCGCGACCCAAACAGGGAGATCTTACGTATATAGTCGGTGGTCCGTTAGGCGAGTGGACTAATAATAACAATAATAATAATACATGCTTGTTTTGTTTATCATGATTAACTCCTGTAGAATGAGCAATTGTAGGGAGTAGAAGAAGAAAGGAGTAAAAGCTCCGGGGAATAGTGAAATAGAGGTGGAGCTTCTGAATAGAGGAATAGAGATGAAGTGGAAGCCCTGAGAAGTGGTGAACGCCACAGTTTTCAGTACTTAAAAACTGTGATTATAATTAAAAGTTTTTTATTATAAATATTATAGAGTGTTTCTGTGTCTATTAACATCTATAATCAGAAAGTAATTAAATATTAATATTTATTATTCTATAGTTGAGAGATAATAGCAGTGACTGTATAAAAATAAATATATCAAGTTTCAATTGAATATATTTTTATCAGATTGAAGTGAGTTACTATAGAAGTTTATATAAAGATGTTGAGACTACGCCGCTGCAGGAAGCGGAGAGGGAGACGAACCTGCATTCCCGGAGGAAGTGGCGGCCGTGACAAGCGAAGGTGAGCTTTTCCAGCACCATGGGTTCCAGAGAGTCCTTTCCTAACGATCACAGAGAGACTTAACTACCGGAACGGTTAGCGAGGGCGGTGACAAAGAGAACATTGAATCGCCCCCTATCCATCACTTCCCAATACGCTCGCCGACCATGTCCCCGTGGCTGGGGCCCTTGAAGGAGACACCTCCCACACTCAGCAAGTCCCCTTCAACCTAATGTCAATTGAATATCTTCTGTGGGCGCCGACACGGTGGACAGAGGATGATGTGGCACTGAGAGCTAGGGCAAGGGCTAGGCGCGTTGCTCTTATAGCTTCGTAAACACGCGCTCTGTTTGTTTTCCTTCCTCTCTTCGGTTCTATTAGGCCTGACAGGTCAGGACGGACGGGTAGTGGACGAGAAACTTTGTTTCCTTAAGTGTATACGGTTAATCTCAACATTATTAGATCCTTCAAACCACATATATATATAGCCTATCCTTGTTATCACCATTGACCTCACCCACGCGAATACATTGCTACCCGTCTCCCCGACAAGATTAACCCTGACTGGAGCCCGTGCCCTTTGGGATCCAATCATTTCTATGCATAGAATCTCCGTACCTATGCACACCATAAAATCTCACTTGAAACCGTAGGGCTCACTGTGATATTTGGGAAAGCCACACTTTCATGGAGAGCTACGCTGTTCTTGCGCTCATCACAGAGTGAAGGCCGGCAGTTGGGAAGGCTCGCTAGAGTGCTGAGGACCCCTCCAACGGGGCTGAAGCGCAAAGGGTCAAAGAGACATTAATCTGCTGAGTGATGATGCCAGCTGTATGGCTTTAGTAAATTCATTCTATTATTTGAGTAGAATCAATAACGATTCTTGTCACTCCATTCTGACCAGCTGCATCTGCTTGTTATCATATTTCGCCTAGCACCTTACGCCCATCCCACTTGTTCAAATCTCGTAACTCATTCACGGCTAGGTTAATATCTGTCGCGAATCGCCGCTCTGGGAGTGGCTTACACAAACCGAGGCTGGGCGTGCGCTTTCGCTTAGGATTCGGTGACAGAACTCCTAAAACTGGTCGTGGCTCGTGAATTTGTGCCCTTTCAAAGTCGATGAGGACAACCGTTTTGATTTCAGGGTTCCACAGTAGGTTACGTGGCTCGGCGTCACGGTGTTCTACACCTAGACGGTGTATGGCAACAAGGGACTGCTTTGTCTTCTCAATAAGATCCTGTCTGTTGGCCGTGTTGAGTACTCGAGCAATGGGTTGACCGCCCGGGCCTAATAGCATCATGTGGACGAGATCGGCAATCCCATCGTAATTGCATGGGGGGTCGAGATCGAGGCTGCCCAAATACAGTGGAACATGGATACCCTGCACGGGAAGAAGCTGCTGGTAGACAGTTGCTTCATGTTTGAGATGATGCACAAATTCAGGTATGGTGCATTTCGCTGGCATAGTGTATCCAAATGACGAGAGCGTGACTTTCAACAGAACTCCACGAGAGCCATGGATGCCAAGGGTTTCGCAATCCACAGCCAGACTTTCCGAGAGCTGCTGGCTTAACAAGCTTAAGAGCTGTGATTGATCGATGGAATGGGAGTGCTTGCCGTGGTCACGCACGTTTGGGCATGCTGGGTCCAGAGGGCCGCTATCAATCAGCCCGCGAAGGCATTTCACAGTGCAGTAACGCCGATTGTTCTGCCGCTGCTGATTGTCAGGACCTGAAGGTGATGGAGTTGACATCGCCTTCAATGAAGCTGGATGTGAACGAGACAAGAGGTCAGTCGCTTGACGAGTTCGGCTCGGCGTGTCTGAGTCAAACTCATCATCATCATCATCAGGTTGCGGCTGTTCTGGCGGCGGCTGGCAGCCCCCATAATTGATTGGCAGCCTCCTTCGACGAATGCGGATTGGGGATATCCGGATAAAGTCGTTCGCATTGGGTCGAGGACGATATTCGGACCCTGGAGGCTCATCATCATCTTGGACTTTGTCTAGCATATCCATGTACATCACTTCCCACTTTGCCAATGTGTCATGAGCCCTTTGCCTCCATTCATGACTCCATAACGGTGTCTTGATCGCCTGGAGGGTAAAGGCTAGCAATTGTCCAACAGCAGTAAGATGCAGTCGGTTTGGGCTATCGGTGTTGGGATCCCATGCGGTCGTCTCCCCAACGTCGGCCTTTGGGACAGAAAGATAGTAATAAACAGTGGATGGGTCGTCGTCGATTTTCAAATAAATGTCCGCTTCTCCAGTACTAATCATGGCATATTTTACACGGGCATCAACCGCATAGTCGAACGCCTGCGTGATGACGGCGGCAATGAGACGTTTGAACCGATCCTGGGCGCTCTCCGCCTCGTTATACTGGACAACCAGCTCTAGATCCATATCCTGCAGTCCTTCATTGATGAACCCCAACTTTAATTTATGTGGAGCCTTAAACTCTTTGATATATGCTGGGACGCGGTAGTCCGTCTCCGACGCCCCACGGGTTATGTTGTACACGCAAAATTGATCCGCCCGGGGCCGTCCGCCTCTGATTGTAGATGTCTTTACGGGAGTATTAGATTCAACTAACCCGTCATGTTGTTCTCTAGCCAATAAACGGGGTGAGCGGCGTCGGGGTGGTGCGCGCCCCCGTATATCCATGCTGTCCATCGCATTTTCAATCTGCCGCTCGGGACTAAGTGTATTGGCATGATTTTCAAACCGAATCGACCCCTTCAACCCGAAGGCCTCACGAAGTTCAGAATTTTGATATATTATCTCAATGATCCGGGATACGTGATCTTCGACTGTAAGACGGAGAAAGTGATTCAGATCGAGCTCAGAGCTAATCAGGCGCCGGCGCACCGCTTCCCCTTCTTCTTGCAAGGTGTGTAGGGAGGTAAAGTGTCGCTCGTTGATAAGGTCGGAGTCCATCAGAAGTTGCCATATTGCTTCCTGATCAGTCGCAAATTGCTCCCATACGCGTATTTTGTCCGGGCGCAGTTTGTTTGTCGCATTGGATGGATCACCGCGAGTCGACTGCGTTGAGTCCCGCTGAACTTCAAGACCGAGAGAGAGGTGCGCATGGAGGCCATCAAGCAAAGCAGGAAGCGTTGTTTTGCTAGTTCTCTCTTCTGCTTCTTGGCGGCGACGTCGTTCCTCCTCGCTTCGTTGTTCAGCTTCTTCAAGGCGCCGTTGCTGTTCTTCGACAATTCTGCGTAGCCGGTCTATCTCCAGGTTGGACATCTTGAACCTAAAAGGAACGATGAGCTGGCGGCCCTGGTTGGGAAAGCAACCCGCTTTGTTTATTCTGTTGGCGGAAGATATTTCCGCCGTGCGCATTTCATCATGTCAACGAGGCTCTATTAGAAGCAGGTATTTATTTAGTTAACTAGCTCTCAGCCACTTGTACTCTGTAGTAAATGTCTGTCTTCGCTCTTTGTACTGCTCTTCAAAAACAGTTCCCTGAAGATCCGTTTGATGTAAACTAATTTTGAATAGAGTTGCAGTAAAAAGTAACGTTAACTATTTAACTCAATCTCTGCTATCACCACATAATCGCTGCAAGCACATTCCCAAATTCACCTTAATAGAACCGGAAAACTCGAATTTTGAACGCCCAATATTCCTTTTCCGGTTTCTTTTCCCTCATTATAATGTCAACCTCTCAATTTCCTAACCACAGAATAGCCAGCAGCTTTGTCGGCAAAGACTCTGCCACCCAGCCTTCTTCAGCCTTATCCCAAAATACCAAGAATTAAGACAAAAAAACGGGCATCAATTGTATGCGTGGAAGCAACGATATCGCGCTATTTCGACCCAGATAGTAGTTTGACAAATTCGCACGCACTCCGCAGCGCTGTCACTATGTACTTTGTCTTTTCGTTCTTCACACCACTTGGCGTGTTGTCGTGGATATATCCTGCAGAGATCTTCAGCACACGGATCCGGGCCCTCGGAAATTCAGTCAGTACATTTGTCAACTGGTCATTAAATCTCTTATTTGCGCAGTGTGCGCCGATTGGACTCTGAAGGTTGGAATATCGATTCTTTTATTGCTTTATGGCGTTCAATTGGGTAGGTGCGGTAATGGTTTGGTTGTGGTTCCCAGAGACTATAGGGAAGACACTAGAGGAGGTGGAAGGTGTGTTTAGGGATGGAAACGTTGTACCTAGGGCGACTGGGGGAAAATATGTACTTAATATTAGCAGCAATGGTAGGGAGGAGGCTTTAATGGTTCGGTCTGCCGGACCTAGAGGAGATGAAAGGAGCCGTATAAAGGGGATGGTGGATGTTTGAGGATAGGAGTAATGGGAGCAATGGCGGTTTGGGGGAATACTCACATATTTATCATATATTTTTTATTATGATATATCTTCTATAACCAACTCTTGATCTGTATTTAACATTATATAAGAACTCATTATAAACCTGCTTGTATGTAGGTATAAGAAATAATAATAGTTATTATAATTATTATTATTATTATTATATACTGCAGTTAACAGTTCTGCTGTGGTGTAATTTATGAAATAGAGTTCATTTATTCAAATTAACGGATTATTTTCTCATATTAGTGAGTTAAATGAACAGAATCATAAAAACCGAGTATTTTCAAGATTATGAAATGATGTGAGAAACAAAGATAAAAATATATAAAGAATATAAATTTTAGAAGACTGTATTGATGAGATTCAGAGTGCTGAGTCAGCTCTCTATTCTTGCATCGTGGAGCTCCAGTAGGACTCAAGTGGTCCCGTAACCTCAAACCCCTTGCCTGCTTCTCTGCTATATCTAGCTCTGTAGTCTCATGGTGAGGTTTCGGGTCTCACATAGCACCATGTTCATCTGTAACCGGGTGATCACATAGTATAAAACCCTTCTTCCTCTATTCCTCCTTCAATTCTCTCTTCCAGAGCCTTCCTTACAACGACCAACTAGCACACTGAATTATTATTCCAAAGGTGGAGACCTCGTGTACATGGACTCATGGAGCATACCCTTCGTCAAGCTGACAAGTTCCACCAGTGACATCCAACGGAAAAAAAGAAAATTTTTCCCAGATGTGCCAGCCGAAACAATCACGCTCAACTCAAACCCCACGGCCACGGCCTGAGCCAGGGAACACGGGCGATTAGCTTCGGTCGATTCTCAATGATCAAATTTGTTCAATTCGATTCGGAATTATCCCACATATTTTCATAGATTCTTATCGGCTGTCGCGAAAAACCTGTCAAATTCTATTGAGATCCAGACTGCGATGAAATCCCCAACTGGATTGGAGGCCCTCCCCTCTGATTCCATATATTGATATGGTTGCTTGCTGAGAGATCATTGATTGTCTTAAGGACCTTATCAGCAAGGCTTGCGATTGCGTCCCCACCACCCCTGCCACTGCCGGGAATCTCTATGGGCGCTGATTCAAAACCGTTGCCTATGATGCTGCTGAAAAGGGCCTTGATTGGCGTTGTGGCGGACACTTTGATCGATTGAAACGATTGTTCCCAATAGTTCAGGTGCTGGCCCTCATTCACAACGGATTCAACCACTGCAGACGCCATAAACAGTCCCCGTTCAAGATAGGGGGCCTCCGTTTTTAGTATAGACATTATATTCTTTTGGATATTCCCATAATCCATAATTCCCTTAACGAGAAGGGTATTGTTGCCGGGTATGATGCCATTGAGCGTCACGAAGGCCTGTCCTATCTGGACATCGCCAATCAATATCTGCAAATACATATCGCCCTGTTTTTGATTTTCCCGAATGTCAGCACTTAGATCATTAAGAATATCGGGAGTGGATATTGTAAATTTCTACCAGAGTTAGGTAAACTGGGGTTACGTTGATCATGACCATTTCGGCTACCATATTGTAGCCTTCAGCATCAGGAAGATGTACTCTGACATCTCTTATACCGATTTGAGCAAAGTTGTCGAATGCTTTCTCACTATGAGCGGTTACCCGAGGGGAAAACAATAAGGAATCAGAGCCATGACGAGAGAAATAGCAAGAGCGGGGGAGGCTAATCTAACCCGGTAATTCAATAGCCCCATCGATATCAATCCATGTTGCCGGAATCGGGGGAAGGCGTATTTTTGCGCGTGTCTGACCAACTACTCTGAATGTTGGCTGATACACGACCTGTTCAACCAGCTTCGCAAATTCATTCAGATTTCCGAACTTTAACGTTTGGTTTACAAGCTCTATTCGCTCATTAGAGTGAAATACCATTTTTGCAAGATCGACTGTCGCAAGTGGAACTGTATAAAGCTGACTGTCCGGGAGGAAGAAATCCGCATGCATTGGATCGACAGAGATTTTGAACCTATCCGGGACTCGAATGTTGGTTGAGATCGCAAAGGATATGCTATTGTTGGTCGGATTTGTAAGGGTGACGCTATAGTCGGGAATTGGGGTTCTATATATGATATATCGTCCGAATGCTGGAGCGCCCCATACGAGCCTGTACAATCTGTCAGTTTGTTCCTAGCTTGTGGTGAGAACAAGTCCATATCTGGATTTATCAAGACCTACATAACTGCAGACCCCATGGCCATGAGCACCACTCCAAGAATACAATAGCTGACAAGATGCGAGGAAATGTGAGAATTTCCAAAACCCCTTTTGCAAAAGTTTAGTTAGATGGCCTAGCTCACCTTGGGGATTGTCAAAAAAGCTCACTTTATTTTCTTTGTCTCCTTTCGCCCTTCCCCTGGTGGTACATCTTTTATCGCTTCATTCGATCCTTCGCTTTTACTTTCTTCATCTTTTCTTTTCACTTCTTTTTCTTGACCTCTTGCTCCAACATTGACCCTGCTGGACCTTGCTTCAGTTTTATCTCCCATCCCATTCCTCGGCTTAGGGGACTTACAGGCGATTTGCGAGGGACCGGATATCAAATTTAGCATCGACAATACATAGGGCTCCCTGTGAATGGAAATGTGCTCAGTAATTTGCCTCCTTGATATGAAATACGAAGCGAGGCGACACAGAGCAGAGGGAATGGCCACACTTACAAAAAGCGCACTTGCCAGCCACGCGAGCATGCACAAGAATGAAAATGCTGTGGAAGCTTTGTAAGGGGCGCACCCTATCTTACCATCAGGTCGGAAACCATAGCAATCTGATTCAAAGAACTAGAAATAAGACTGTTGAGCCAGTGTTCACTACTGCAAAGTCGACACAAGAAAGGGGGATGGCATAACAAACTTGAACTACCATGGCGAACGCAGCAGCCACAGACCAGGCCAGTGTCCAAACCAGATCATACACAAAGTTTGGGTATGGCGGTACCATCGATCCCAGGATGGTCAGAGCTGACAAAACCTCGATGTATATCAGGAACTCCACACTAGATGCGCTGTTTTGAATAAACGTGGCCCCGAGGCCAAGCACAACGACCGACGACGATAACACTCCGAACCTCGCGATGCACGAAAGCGTGGTTAAAACCATAGCAGCTAGGGGGTATTCAATAGGTATGTATTGCAGTTTAACCCTACCTCTAGCCGATTTTGCCAGCCGTTAAGAAGAATCAATGCTGGTTACTGTGTTGTTGACGACATATTTTAAGAGAGACGCTAATCATTCCTCTTTGGATATCTCCATGTCATCTGGTGGCTTTTGTAGGGGCCGTTGTCGTTGATTGCGTAGAGTGAATGGAGAGTTGAAGTATACTCCTCCTCACAGTGGACACACGACATTTTTGAGCCTCATACCTTTCGTCAGCAACGCTCTAATCTGAAATTCCAGAGGAAAAGCCTTTGTCCAGTACATCTTAGCCTGCAAAAGGAAGGGTAAAGAAAACAATCTGGCTATATAGGTATCCGCCCTGGCTCTAGCTAGTGATAATTGACGAGTTCAATTGATATGAAAAGCAAGTCAGAAAATGAGAAGATCAAAATGGTAACGTAGTCGTAACAGACCTACGTCCAACAAGCAGCCCTTAGAAACTGTGCTTGGTGCCATACGACCATGATTTAGATCATTGAAGATAAACGGGAAAGGAAAAGCCTGGATATATATAGTTTAACGATTATAAAAGCGTGCTATTTATTCATCAAAAAATTATCATTATCACAAGTCATAATTTGTGATGTTATATACGAGAGCCCAGAGCCCAGTCAGTCACAGTAATAGGGGCATAATATAGCTTGTTAGGGGAGCTGTGAGAATCTCATGTCTCAAGTCGTTTTCCCACGACGGGAGCATTGGTGCCTCCGCCGTCAGCGTGAGGAAGGATAGAAGAGAGTCATTTAGTTGTTCCCAAGATGGCCTCCCAAGCCGTTTCGCGATCTTAAGCATTCTCCCAACAAACCAAGGGCGTTCGGAGGGAACAGGTTCAGCCGCGGGCGTTCCTGTTTCCTGCGATGAGAAAACTAGGGGCTCATAACCATCACTAAGCCAAACGTGTCGTCGCATTCAAGAAGGGTTTGTAGAAGGGCTTCAACAGAGGTGCTGACATCGACTTCGCTGGTTAGAAGTTTGCGTTGTAGGTCATTTAGGAAGGATATGATCGGTTTTCTTTCACCTGGGATTGAGTAGCGGATTCCGGGTTGAAATGTTGAATATCAGCTTGGAATTGTAGGATTAAGGGCTCAGCGGGAAGATGTTTGAGTGAGGGAGAGCTGTTCGCAACGGCGGAGGAAGGAAATAAATTCCTCGCATTGAGAGCGGATTTCGTTAAGGCGTGTAAATAAATGATTGATTTCCAATACTTACCATTTGACTCGAAGAGCTCCGCATGTTTGCAGGGGTATCCTCGTAGAAAAACGATGGTTCTTTCGTTTCGTAACCTGCGAGGATATAATCTTGCCAATTAATTAACATAGCCATTCTCTGATTTTGTTGGAATGCAGCTGGTCCTCCCCTGGCACGGATCTTCTGCATTGCGGCACGCATATGAATCCAACTGATTGGTTTCCGCTCCGGACGAGAGTCAAAATCTTCCACTGCAGCGCAACTGAGCGTTGCAGAGATGGCGGCATCCGAAACATCTGTGGGATGCTTCTCAAAATTCTTTCGCAACATCTCTATTCCACGTGCACGGTGAACAAGAGCCGCGCGCTTCTCAGACAACCCCTTTACCCACGCTTGTGTATTTGCAGCATGAACGAGAATAGTATTCTGGAATGTAAGATCTGCTTTCATAGCTACTGGTATGAACACCTGCAAATACCAATTGTGAGCATTTGGTGACCTTGTATGGAAACCGTACGAACATGAAGGCATGATGTTAGCGTAGAAATCGAACAACATCTTCCCTTCTTCGTAAGCGAAATTGGCAAACTATCAAATGGATCAGTTCGCGCGGCGCTTAGCTGCGTCTGCGGAGTAGGTGACGCAGAGTTTGAGGAGGACCATGTAGACAAACTACACGATTCGGACGATCCGGTAACTTATTGCTTTGAAATCTGGGATCATTTGCCTGAGACTGATACTTGTCTCCCCCATGCCCAGGCCAAAGGAGGCGATTCCCAAGGTCTGTGACCCGCGAATGGGCTCCATGAAGATGATATTCCCCGTTTATCGAAATAATCAGCACCAAATCCCAGTCCAACTTGATCCGCGATTTCTAAGTCCTGGTATTCCCCGTATGTGTTATGGTCTGGCAACGGCAGTTGCGTCAACTAAAAATCCGGGTGTATCAACAGACGATTCTCTCCGCCATCGCTAAGGCCCCTCGCATGTCCAACGCTCCCTTTCCCTTTCTGCTCACTTGGGGCTTGCCTTCGTGCTCTGGCACGTCTTACATGCCGCTCTCCGCGCTGGGGTTTGTCTTCCCCACTGGTGTCGATATCCGCATCGCCTTCACCATCAGTGTCTGGTTGTTGTTGCTCTTGCCATTTTTTTTGGCGCGCACATTCTAACATGACATGACACTTGACACTAGCCAAGCTTTTAGGACTGCTTGTAGATGCATCGATAAACTTATATCGCATTGCGAAATTGGAGGGACGTGCTGAGGGAGGAGCGGCAGAACGTGACGGCTCCTTCGCAGGTTCGGACATGGCAACCATGATTGTCATTATCAAATGTGGTGATGTAGTTGGCTGTCATTTGGATAAAATTCAAGGAAAGAAGGGATGGAACGGATATATGTTCTTCGTGATGTTCTATTTAGAACAGAGCGGAACAGAGCCTGCGGGAAGGCTAGATGGGACGCAACAACAATTAGCAGTAAAAATCAAAGAATGAATTAACTACCTGCGAGCGGTGCGATGGAGATCATAGCAGCATTTGACGTTCCATGCTAGAGGATAGTATCATGATACGAATAACTTAGATATCCCACCCCTACTATCTACCTCTTGGAAACTCGATCAAATTTGTCCATTTGGTTAATTGATGCATCAAAAAGCGGACATGCTTGACCGCACCCCCCTGCTACCCAGCGATTCCAAAAGTCCTCAGGTCTGATTTGACTGGTCTGGCGACTTGGGTGTATAAATAACGGTCTATTTATGGCGGCCGATGAGCGCAGGAAGAGAACGGCGGATTTAGCAACCATGGTGAAAGCGTTCCCGATAGTGGTAATCCGTAGCACACTCATGGACAATTAAATTAATCAATTTTCTCTTATTCGGTTCTATATCTTTTTACATCCCGCATTTTTGTGTCTCATGAGTTTGCTATTAGGCCACTGGGGCAAAAGAGCTCAATCACCATCAGTGTGCACTGATGGGAGAGGGGCTCCAGCCCACGAAAAGCGCTGCCGCCAGGCAAGTTAAATAAGCGACCGCCGTGAGAGCTCTCAGACCTGCTCCGCGATCAATCCTGCGCCAGACAGAGCTTCACACCCAGACACTCCGCTCGCCTCAGGTCAACGGCTTCCTTCTGCAGCTCTCTGTCGTTGTCCTCAATAGAATACTATCTACTCTATGTACTTGAACTCGAACACGAACTCGAACAAGCTTCTATCCTTCCGATGCCAACCATACCCAGTCCTCCAGCTGCGCAGACCAACTCTCTGTGTACATCCACATCCACCCGGGCTTTCTCAGCATACAAAGCTGTTCAGAGTGCTAGGATTTAATATTGCTACTCAAGGCGTCTAAGCCATTATACTTGACGCCAGAAGTCAAGCGCCTCCAGAGCTGCACAAGTCGCGTCGAACCTTCCCTTGACCTCCTTCTCCCTCCAATAAATTCACAACCCAACATTTCGCTTTCCCGCACCCTAGAACAGCATTGCCATGTTCCGCGTTCACCCTCTTTACAAAATAAACGAATCCTGTTAGACAGAGCTGGCCCCTCTCCATCATCCCACGTGCTGCCCTTCGAGAAATTCCGCCACTGTCAGTCACTTAGATATCGTTCGCAGAAAGCAGCGGCTTCGTAATACCAGCTACCTACGTTAAAAGCGGTATGGATATTGACGCAGATGGATCCCCTCCAAGAACGGTGGCAAGCACGTTTACAGACCTAGATGTCAATCCTTATGAGACAAACGCGGAAAAATTACCACAATCGGACCGATTTCTAGCTCGACATCCTCACTGCGGCCGTTACCGCCCAGGCATTAGCGATTTCAAACCCGACCCAGTTCACTGCAACTCTAATAATGACGAGTCGCTCCGCTACTGGGAAGCTGTTCTGGCCAAATGCGACGAGAAGACGCGTATCAGCATCCCAGCAGCTGGCAAGAGAGATACATTTGCATTGGGGAGTGTGATTGTGAAAAGTGACCACATTTCTACAGAGTCGACCGGGGACTACAGCATCGCAGATGAAAACGAAGCCCAGGCTATCAAGGTAGCAGAGAATATCCTTCCAGATATCCAATTGCCACAGATATATCTCAGAACCAAAATTAAGGGTCGCGACGTGCTTGTTCAGTCTCGCATCCCGGGGGTTTCGTTGGAAGTCGCATGGCCTTACCTTACCAGACAACAAAAGGAAAGCTTCAAGAGACAAGCGCGAAACATAATACGAAAAATTGACAGTGCCAATGATGGTCGAAGTAGTCCGTCCTACGTTGTCAAGGGAAGCAAGCCAAAAGAGGAACACCGGTTGCAGCAGGCGGAATACGACATCCTCTTCGGATCTGCCTCCGCTTCGAACCAGACTCTAGCTTTTACCAATAATAATATGGCTCCCGCTAATATCATCGTAGATAACGATACAATCGTCGGGCTTGTTGGGTGGTATAATGCTGGCTACTTCGGTTGGGATCGAGCCAAAACTATTCATAGTAAAATCCGATGCCTTGATTCCGCCGACGTCTCCTCTGACGGTGGCGTATCGATACCAGATGCGTTTTGGCGCGATCTTTACGATATTTCTGTCAGCCATTCCGCTACAAGTAATCTACTCGAGTTGAAACCTGATATCAAAACTGAGCCGCCCACTCCAACCTTAGAATCTATCCCTAGCAGTTCGACAGCTGATATCCCAGTGCAGACGAAAGAGCCATGGACACCCAGGAAGATTACAGACCTTAAACGTGAATCCATATCCCGCGCTTCATCCACGGAGCGTTCGTCTCCGGCAACATCAACCAAGGCCGCAGGTCCTAGTCCTGGCCCAAGCACGAAGAAAAGACCGGCGTCCTCCACCAAAAAGGGAACTTCTACCAAAAAACCTACTACTAAGAAGCGCAAGTTGAATCCAAATGACACTGAAAGAGTAGATGGTACGGCTTCGCCGCTTCGGCGATCAGCAACACCGGTATCATCGCGTGCCAGCAAGGCTCCAGCTGCGAAGAATCGGAAACAGAGTTCGTTGTCCGTTGCGGGTTCTCCAGCACCGGAAAGTAAAAAGGCAGCAAAAGCAACCGAACCTCAGGAAGAGGAGGATGACGTCGATGAAGTTGAAGATCCGTCGGAGCTGTTTTGTATTTGTCGTAAACCTGACAATCATACTTGGATGATTGGTTGTGATGGCGGATGTGAGGATTGGTTCCATGGGAAGTGTGTCAAGATCAAACAAGAAGATGCTGATCTGATTGATAAATATATTTGTAAGTACTTCACCCGTGTTGTTTCCATCCCATTTGTGGGCCATAGCTGACATCCATAGGTCCTACCTGCGAATCAAAAAATGGAACCCATACGACTTGGAAGCGGATGTGTCGTCTCCCAGGCTGTCGACGACCAGCCCGTATTTCAGGGGGTATGGTCCCCAGCAAATATTGCAGTGACGAACATGGCCGAGAGTTTATGCGGCAGAAAGCTTCGCTCTCAAAACAGGGATCGGCCGCTGGACTTGCATCTGCTGCGAAGATGTCAGCTTCGAACAGTCGTTCGCGAGGATCATCAGTAACCGTTGGAAAACGCTTTCAAAAAGGAGTTCATCGTGATAATACAGAAGCAGAAGTAGGCCAGCCGGAACTCGGCACATCAAATCCCAATGAAGAGGATGAAGAGGACGAGGATGACATTGAATTAGACGAAACCGAAGCGGACAGTGGGCAAACCGAAGACCTTGGCAGTAGAGGTGGTGTTCTTACTAAGAATGACCTGAAAGCTGTCGTCACGGGAGTGAAATCTGCACTGGATTTTCGTGAACTGGGCGACAACATCCTACCTCCATCTGTGGCCAAAAGCCTAACATCATCGAGTGACATTCCTGGAGAAGATTCATTGTCTGAATCCAAAGCCAACATAGCGCCTCAAGACCTTGATCACATCGACTTGGATCTCGATACTCGTCACATCCAGTTCACAACCAATGAACGCCAGCATCTCCACAACCTCCGTAGGAAACGAACAGAACTCCGCAACCAGCTCGAAATGCTCCAAGACCGCGACACTTTCCTTACTATGATTCGCCAACGCGCAAAAACAATCCTTGAGCACCTTCGCCAGGCGGACCCCAAAAGCAGCACGTCCGCTTGGAAAGATATCTGCGGGTATGATTCTCGCCTTTCATGGTCTGATGACGAGTTCAATGAGTGGAGATGGTCAGAAGTGGGAAAGAAAGCGCTTCGGTCTGGGGTTCTTGAAGCTGCTGATTCCGGAAATGATGGTGGCGGGGATGTTGAGATGCAAGATGTCGACGGGAACCGTAACACTGTTGATAGGATCGCTCGCGGCGTTTGTCTCAAGAAACGCTGTGAGAGGCATAGACAGTGGGTTAAGGTACAGCAGCAAGACATGCAACACGAGCAAAGGGTTGCGAGGGAGGAGCTGGAGAAATGTGAAAACGATACTAAGGATGTTATTGGTCGGATGGTTTTGCGGGTCGTTGGAGATAAGGATAGTGGGAATCCTGCCAATGTCCCTGCTACGCCGGCCGCTACCGCTGTGACCTCTACCTCTGGAAATAAGAAGGATGTGGACGGGAAGACTACGGTCGGAGGATAATGTTGGAAATCAAGTCTCTATGAATTAAATTGCATTTATTCTTAGGGATGATGAAATAAGGCGCAAGATTTCTAGACACCGTTTCTCCCGAAGATGATGCCGACGCCGCTATCTGATGATTCGGTTATTTATATTCGTATCCTGTGTGGTTGAGGTGGCTGGAGAATCAATATTGCTTTTGCTTCTCACTAGGTCCTTCAGGGGTTGGCGAAGGCGAGAGGGTTCGATGATCAACTTTGTGTGCCAGTTCTCCAATGGTCAGTCTACTGATAACAACACCCTCCTGCTATGGCTGCGGAATATAATGAGCCAGCAGGTCTCTATTGACTACCAGACGAAAAGGTGCGCGTTGAGCTTGACGAGAATTGGATCGAATTCGTGACGCCTGAATCATTGAATAGCAAGTAAGCAACGTGCGGTACCGAAATAATAGAAAGCTCCACAAAACAACTGAAGCAATAGTTTATTTAACATTGCAAAAAAGAATTAAGAAACAGAAAGGGACATACCGTAAACAAGAACAAACGCAAAATACCACCGGCAATACCCATCACCAAGGCTTGTCGCTACCAGTGGCCATGTATCGATCCAAGCTCTTTTTGACGTGCCGGTTGATATCTCTCGCAGCCAACTCGCTCTCTTTATGATGATAATATCTCGTTACCCCGAAGCCATATATAATGCCATCAACATGCGCTTTGTCCAACATAGATGCCACACGCTTGCTGTCGCCGATCTGGCTAGTCCAGCCAAAGACTCTCCGGACAAGACCCTCCTGCCGAGCCTTCGCTCCATTCCTCAACCTAGTGCAAGTCTTGTGTCCATCCTCTGTACAATTTCCAAATCCCTTGTGAAGTTCCGTATAGCCATAATCCATTACCCTCTGCGCAGGTTTTACTCCGCTCCCCTTCTTCTTGTAGACGTTCAAAACTTTGTCCACCTCACCGCTCAGACATACCGCCTCGCCATCCTTCAGGTTGCCTTGAATGTAATTGAAACCGGCAGAATCGGTCGCGCCGGCACCGTAGAAGCCGTAGAGAATGCGCACACCCGCAGGCTGCAGGTATTTCTGCGCCAGTTTCTGTAGCGACTGCATGGAGCATTTCTGGCTGCTCTTGCACTTGCTGGGATCCAACACGTCCTTGTTGCAGGATTTTCCAGAGCACATGTTCGGGGTCTTGAGGTCCAGCCAGACGAATGCGATGCGCTTGTTCTCTTTGGCGATCGCTTTGAACATAACCTCCAGCGAGTCGCCCCATGACTTGCTCCGGATGTCATGGTCTGCCCACCACCCTTCTTTGTACGCGGCAATGTCGACCTCGACCGAATTGGCGCCATGTGCGATGGCATCTCTGAGACCCCTTCTGTCCAGGACCATGTGAGCAATGGCGTATGTAGGTCTCCTTTTTCCGACTCGCCCGCCAACTGCAAGCTCAACTGGAGAACCGAAGACGAGGGGGACTGCTATGAGAACGCAGAGAAAAGCGCATATTGTGTGTATTAGGGATCGCATTTTCTAGTTCAAATTTCGTTTTCACGGCTAAAAATAAGCGTATAGAAAATAGCAGTTTGGTTATGAACAAGGCCGCATAGACGGTGTTGATATGTTGTTTCTTGGAGCATTCAGCTGTCCAGAAAAACCAAGGCGATTTATATCATTTGATTGTTAAAGAGCGACGATCAATGAGAGAAATAAAAAAAATAAAAATAAAAATAAAAAAAAAAAAAAAAGGGGGGGGAGATGATAGAATAATGCCTATAACTCTCCATGGCCGCTTCAGCCCCCATGATAGACACATTGATGCTCCATCCGTGAACCTCCTAGCAGGGTACGGAAAAGGTAGGATTTGCGGATATAAATAGTTTTTAGGCACGGAGGAATGTAATCTAGTTATAATAACTGAGTCAGCCATCTTCCCATCATTTTGTATGTTTATAATCAAATATAACAACAATCACATAAGAAAAATAGATTAAGTATATGAAGAATTTTTTATAAACCAGCTTTTATATATATGAGCAGTATATTCAATAGTGTTATATATACTATAGCTGTTGCGCTGGTTGGAAGGTAAAGGGTCATGCAGTTCTCGATAGAACTGTAACTATTTCTGACGCGATCTTAGCTAACTACTCCACCTGGTGGATGTAGAGATAGTTATATCTTAGCGGCCTTTTACCCACAAGGTCGCCCTTAATAATAGTTCTTTTCTTGGTTTTGTCATAAGAGGGGGGGGGGGGTTATGTATTAATTTTCTCATAAAAGTGTCGACACATGTCTTTATTTCTTTTCCAGTCCAGATCTTCATAAATCACACCACCGTCCAACTTCGGCCCCAACCCTATGCTTCGCCACCTCGATAACCATTTTCTCCTGGATTTGGGAAACTAGGAGATGCACATCACAGCCTTGGTCGAGCGAGCGTGCTAGAACAGAGAAGTAGTAAGGGGTTGGTGACGCTTTCGAGAGACGGCCCACACCCCTCGGGATGTTGGCAAAAATAGAACGCACAGCGACCTCTGGGGAATATTGTCGCTGTTGTTGCAGCTGACCACTTGCTGGCTGGCGAGGTGGTTGCTGGCCAGCATCTGTGTCGTGTGGTGCTGGAGTAAGAGTGGCCGTTTGGGCTGAGGAGGCTGCTGAGCGAATATGTGGCAACGCGATAGAATTAACAATGATAACAGATAGGAAAGAAGCGTAGGTTCGTGAGAGAACAGTCAGCGTCCGTAGTAATGGGATGAGGCGGGCGTGGCCGGCTACGGGGTTGGATCTGCGAATGATCTCTTCGAGTGATTGGTCTATACCTTCGATAAGGAGGAGGACCGGTGCGGAGTAGCTGTGCCCCTTTTCTTTCTTTTCAGGGTGCGTTTTTTGCCGTTGCTGGAGTTCAAATAGGATATCTGATATCTGAGATACAGCCTCGAGCAGTTCGTCGAAGTCATAGACACGGCGAGTTTGGATATTCTCCAGGATGGATTCGATGTTTTCTGGTGCGAGGTCTGGCAGTCGCTGCTGCAGGGAAGAGTATAAGACATGAGGCGACAGGGGCCGTGAGTCGAAATATTGTATCACAAATGCCTTTGGGAAAGCTTGAGAGGTCGGATATTTGCAAAGTAGAGTGGTCAGGATGTGTTGCCAAAACTAGGGTAGTTGTTAGCTTCTCTGATGTAGATAGCATGGCATGTTCCGGATCACAGGGTGATTGATAGCTCTATTGTGCCTAGCCAAAAGAAATTTTAAAGAGGAACAAGGCCGGAAGGAAATAGGTCACCAACTTCATTAACCCAGGGTCTGATATCGTCTCCTACCCCCTCTCGCGAACCGTTCACAGCTGCGGGCTGGAGCCCTGATATCCCAATGACCATGCCACAGCTCAGAACAGACTTGTTCGGCGTGAGTGAGATCCCTTCTTCTATGTCCCTAGTTAGGTCCCATAAAGCACTCTCCACCCTTCCAGGCTCCTCTTGACCAGAATGCCTATTGTCATTACTCCTCTGAAATGACGAATCTAGCAGCGTGGAGGCGAGAATTGGGGGAGCCGGTGCAGGCAAGCCCGTCATTGTATATGTCCTTAGGTAGCCTCTCGCTCTTGGAAGTTAGGCTTGCGGAGACCAGAGAAGACAGGAAGTTCAATCCATTAATCAGGTAAAGAGGTTCTCCTGTTCCTGACTTTCCATCTTCGTTGTTGAGGAGAACTCGTGCGCGACTCGGTTTCGTTCTGATATTGGTCAAACACTACAAAACCTTTCAGCTGGATAGTTATTCGATAACTACTCTTCTCGTTAATTATGTATGAACTCAGCCTTCCAGTTCCAATCTGTCTGCCACTCTGAAGCTCAGTGATTTGATTTGCATGTTCCCACATTCCTCGGGTTAGTTAAATATTCAAGTTGCAATATCCACCCCGCATTCCCCACACCTTGCCACGCCCTTGTTACGCAATTGTAGTATGTACATGTACTGTGCATTAACTACTGGTCAACATCTATGTGTAATCGAAGAATCCAAGCAAAACTTGAGTCGCGATAGATGCACTATTTGTTGATGATAGATATTTATTTTTGACCTAAATAGCTGAAACTTCAGTGAGAACTGGCAACTTCTTTCATACAAAGCCGGCTGACTCAATTGCTACATCGTTGAGTCTTTGAGAAACATAACACCAAAGCAGAAAGACGCTGCTTGCATTCTTATACCTCGATCAAAAAGCTCATAAAAAGAAAGCCCAATATGAGCCCCACCGCCATTACAGAAATCACCGTTCCCGTGAACAACCCCGTTGCAAAGTCTCCAGAAGACCAGAAAAAGACTCAACATGTTCACGGGGGTGAAGGCTTAACAGCCCTCCAGGCTATCTCACATGGCGGAATCGCCCTTCCAGGTAATCCTTATATCTTTCGACTATTCAAATGATATCCGCTCCTCCTCCCCCCTCCCCCCCCGGGCGGGGGGGGCGCAATGGTGCATACATATTTATATCAACAAAAACCTAATCAACCCACTCGCGCAGGAATCCCCAGCTTCACCTCCCACGAGCTGAAACGCCAATGGCAACTCGAGCACATGGCAGGTGCCTTCCGCATCTGGGCCCGCCACGGCTACACAGAAGGTCTGTCCGGCCACATCAGCGTCCGGGACCCCGAGCACGCCAACGCCTTCTGGACGAACCCCCTAGCCGTGCACTTCGGCATGTTAAAAGCCAGCGACATGATCCTCGTCGATCTCAACGGGACCGTAATTGGTGGTAATCGCTCGCGGCCCGCCAACGCTGCCGGCTTCCTCATCCACGCCGCCGTGCACAAGGCGCGCGAGGACGTGCATGCCGTCTGCCATGCGCATACCATCTACGGGAAGGCGTGGTCATCATTTGCGCGCCCGCTGGAGATGCTGAATCAGGACGCGTGCAAGTTTTTCGGGGCGCATAGCGTGTATGAATCGTACGGCGGGGTGGTGTTGGCCGCGGAGGAAGGGGATTTGATTGCCAAGGCCTTGGGGAATGGGAAGGGGTGTATTTTGATGAATCATGGGCTGTTGACGGTTGGGGGCACGGTGGATGAGGCGGCGTATTTGTTTGGGTTGATGGAGCGGAGTTGTCGGGTGCAGTTGCTGGCGGAGGCAGCTGCTGCGAACGGGTGCAAGAAGGTTCTGATTTCGGATGAGGAGGCGGCGTATAATTTCAAGGTGGAGAGTGACCCGGAGTATTTGTATCGCGAGTTTCAACCTGATTATGAGTATGAGGATATGTTGTGCAATGGAGCGTTTAAGAATTGACGGAGATCATATAATCCTGGGGTTCTCTAAAAATCGAGCAGTTACAGCGGGTAGACTACCAGACAAGACGGGTGTGGTGAGTCGGCCATTTGAGCAAATATGAAAATTTTAGATACTAAATTATTATCTACCCTATACCATCTATATAAATCCATAAAAGCTATCGGTCAGCGCCATAGAAACCTTTTTGTAAGAATGAAAGTAGGTCCAGAAAGGCTGTGTGTGGTGGAGGGAGTGGGGTTGGGAACAAAGAGAAATCAGCCTGGCAAGGATAGATTTGGTAATAAAACTGACTACATCAGTAATATTATATACACACAAACATGGAAGCGCTTAGTACTGTACAATTTAAAAAAAAAAAAGGGGGGGTATGTTGGTATAGTTAACCGCAAAAGAAAAATAAAAGGAAAAAAATTGGGAAAAAAAGGCCAAGAAGGATGCAGAAAAAGAAGCATGTAACGAGAAGGAACCTATGGTTTACAAGAATTGGAGGACTACGCGAAGTTAAAATGATCGAGATATAGGAAAACAAAAGAAATGAAAATAAAAGGAAGGCTTGGATGAAGGAATAGGTAAAACCTCAAACTCCCTAAAGGAAAAAATATGCATGATGATGACTAGTCTGTCAAGAAATAAAGACAAAATAATTAAAAAGGGGACGAAAACAACGGGAGGGCCTGGAAGGAAGAGGCGCAAAAATTAATGCCCAAAAATAGAAACTATGAGGAACAAGCCCAGGGGTGAAGAGAAGATAAACAGTCCTAGCTGATAGAAAGGGTCAGCTAGTCTAATAAGGCGGTCGCGCTATGTTTCCCCTAGTTCCGCTTCCCACCCTACCAATACTGCGAACTTGGGACGAATCCCGATTTCTGTTGCCACGGTAGTAGCCGTTATCATCCATAAGATATGGTTGTTCGCTAGATGGCTTGGAATGAGAGGAATACGGTGGGTGGGCTTGAGATAATAAGCCATTTGCCCCCTGATCCCCTTCAGGACCGTCTATTAGACCTTCAAGCAACTTTTCCATGTCAACGCGACGGCCCAGGCTGATAGATCTAGGTCCACGGGAGGAGAACGGCCTGTCGTCACTGGTGGAAACAATCTGACCGGCATCATCAGCATACCCAGAGAGGTTGGGGACGCTAGGAGTGTGTAGTTGTTTTGATCGCGACTTCTGCCTAGTCAACGATCTGCTTTGTCGTGGTGTAACACTGACAATATGTTGACCTTTCGTTGCTGGTCTGGCACGAGGCTGAGATGGGGCTGTTGAGGGGCGGTCGAGGGCACTTCGTGAGTGTGATGGCGATGCACTTGAGGAATCAGTCGGGAACCTGCCCGGTAGTACAAGGGCAGCAGGTAAGGGAGGGACAGGTGGGATGTCGTTGGAAATCTTCCGGTTTAATGAGTCAAGGTCTTTCTTGTCATCTTTCTTTTCGCCACCTATGCCGTTGGTTTGGTTGGAAGCGGACGCCTTTGGAGTTTCCGACCCCTCTCGCCGGGAGTGAGGCCTAATTGATGAAGAACCAGCACCGGTCATACCGTCAATATCGGATGTAGAAAATGTATCGCTGAGCATACTTTCTGCGCTCGATGCACCACTTTCAATCCCCCTAGATAAGCTCTGGCGGCCGCGAAGAGGACTCGACTGGCGGACATTGCTGCTGTTCACTACCGACAAAACCCGCCGAAGCTCGTTGACTTTTACCGTCGAATCACGACTCGAACTTGCAACCGATGTGCGAGATTCTGTTGGAATACTCTGGCGGCGAAGTTTCTGTAGACCATTCAACCCGCCCGTAGCTTCGGGAAGGCTGGAAAGACGCGTATCCTCATGCTGTTGGGGTGGGTGAGCCGGTATAGTTTCGGCCTTGGGAGGGGACGCATTCCCATTCTTGTATCCATTTACCGCAAAATAATTGCGTGTTCCCGAAGTACCAGTTCTAGAACCACTAATCGATGATGACTGCGCTTTTTCTGTAGCCATAGCAGCCAGACATTCCTCCTTCGACCATGGCGTTACCATGCGCTCCTTTACAATCGTTGGAAGTCGTTCTTCTGGTGGAACTCTCCCTGGCGCAGCGCTTCCCTGCCCGAGAACTGGCATCGAAAACACACGGCCAGGAGAACTGGCTGGGCTGGTTGCGGGCGACTTAACGACGGTATTGTAGTTATTTTCGATTTGGTCAACAAGCTCAGATAGGCCAATGAACGGTGAGTACATGCGCCAGTCGAGTTGCAATTGAACATTATGCTTGGAAATCGGTTGGGCAGAAGGAACAATGTAATTTAGCTGTCGAGGTGGGAGCTGAATTTTTTCAAACCAGATGCCTCTCTTCTTCCGCCTGGAAATTTCGCCAAGGATATTATCGCCAACTTTCGTTGTCTCGAGGTCGAATTTTTCAACCAATGCCCAGAGATATCCATGAATTAAACTAGAAACGTTGAGTCTAGCAGCTGGCGAAATTGACTCATCGTTGGATAAAAAGTCATCCTGCAATCTCATTATCATAGGTAGTCCATATTTGGCGGCATTGACCCCCATATTTTCCACTAGATTAGCCAACAGAAGGTGTAAAAGCATTATATCGGATTCCACCTCAGCAGATTCAGTTGCAATATCGTAAACCGTCAAGTGGAGGAGCTGAAGAAAATTAGACGTAGCTATGGCAGCATCCTTGTCCCGCTGAGATACTGTCGAAACGACTTTCCTCGTCAATTTGTCGGATGGGTCAGAAATATCACGCCTAGCACCAATTCTGGACGTTCGTTTCGTTTCCAATGTCGCCCGCAGGTCATCCTTCGTAGTTTCTAGTTGCAACCAGGAAAGAAATGCATCAACGTAGGTATGTGCAACCTCGCGGTCCGGGTCTCGCAGAAGCCACTGGGTGCCCTCCCATACCCATATGTTGACTCGACTTCGCGAATCAGCTCCAGCTGCGGTCATAGACTTGCGCAGATTGGCCAGCAAGACGCTCTTGATGCATCTCAAAGCTACAATTCGAGCGGCCGGGAAAGAAAAGTACGCATCCCCACCTACATCTTCCGAGCTGTCAACGGCATTATTTGCAACGCCTTCAGCTTCATTGTTCGAAAGTTCGGATGCTGGAGACGGCCTTAGTCGCGTAATAACCGTACGTATCATGTCGGAAACCTGATCAGCGTAATAAATATGCGTAGCCAAAGACCCGATGCACTTTTGTAGGAGCTCCACCAATTCCTGGCGCGCGTCCCAAGGGATGGTGGTTTGGGTGCCCTCCGTAGATTGTACATTATCGCCATTCGGCTCCCCGGGCGGCTCTTCACTGGCCTCTCCGACTTCTGGAAGATTATTGACATATCCAGAAGGTGCGCGGTGGTGTACCAATTTCATCGATCGACCCCCAAGCTGCAAAAGGAGAAGCAAGCGTTGAAGTAAGCTGATAAGGACGTCCATCACACTCAGCCCAATAAGATTGTTAGGAGAACTGAGTAACCAGTCCATCATCGATGCTAGGATCAACTGCGATTCTAATTTATCATCAACCATGCGGGTGCTGACGAGTTGCTCCATGGTTGCGACGAGAATGATGAAGCGGTCCTGCACTGGTGACCACTTGGCGATTACTTCCATCAAATTCGTAGCCCAGCTGCCACCAGCACCAACGGAATCCGGGTGTTGTTCCAGAGAGCAATGTCGCGGAGGCCGCTTGCTCACGATAAACTGTAGGATCAGGGTAGTTGCATTACGAATTTGGCCTCGATTACCACCCGCCGAGAAAATCTTCTCTAAGCACCGCAATGCCAAAACACGGACTTCCATTTCTTGCAACTTGTCTGCATCTGCAGTAGTCCCTGCAGCAGTAATGGGGTCTGCATCTGTTGTATCGGCGGTCCGAACAGTCGCGATGCTTGTTCTTCGTCGCCGTGCGTGCTCCCGTTCCAGTTTTTCTGAAGACAAAGCCTTTTCTTGCAAGGGAAGTAGGTTTTCGGTGGAATAAAGATTGTCCAAAATCACCGGCATCACGATGCTTAGCTGCTTGGTCCCGTCTAGGGCCAGAGCTTCAGAACTGACAATACTTTTAATAGCCCGCAAACCAGCGTTTCGCCATCGCAGCCGCATGGGAAGTGACAATCCCGCCATTGCTGGAGCTAGGTGGTCGGCTGAAGCCAACTGCGCATAACTCCTAACAACATTTCTATACAAGTTCACATATTCCTGATCCGCACCAAGGACCGTCATATCCTGGTGGCGGCAAAAGACATCGTAAGTCTCTATCGTCTCTTCCACCATCGGCAGGTCGTTTGAGCGGAGAACGGTATCGATTATTGTCAGAACGGAGAGCGCATATAGGGGTAGATCCCGTGGGACCTTCTCAATGAGCGCTGCGAGGATCTGGAGGGTAACTTGGACATTTCTAAAACGAGAAGAAGAAAAATGGATCAATAGTGGGAACAAGGCTTGAGTTGAGATTATTGCTCTATAGACAGCCAACGTACCCGAGCTTCATCCTCCAAACATCTCTAGCAGCTCTTTTCTCCAGAAATGCGCCAACCTTCTGGAGCTTACTTCGTCGCGTGCTCGCATAGTAGAGGAGATAACTAAGCTCTGACGAGTTGGGTTTGACCTCCTGAAACCCTTTCTGGAACCTTGGATAACATTTCAAGATCAAGACCTGATGTTTTGGTCGACACGACTGCTGGAGGGAATTCATTTGGGCAGCGGCTATTCTCAGTCTCCCGTTGCTTTATATGAATTTCTGTCTGCTTTCTCGTCCCGGACGGCAGAAAGGGTTGATGTCCGGTAGGCGTTGAAATAAAAAGGGAGCGGCGGGATAAAAAAGGGAATGCACTACTGGGTCCGACAGGTTCCTAGCAAAAAACAGCAGCTTCCAGCCTTGGACCAACGTTAAACAGTGACTGCTTGGTGTTGGCTCCTGCGGCGGAAGGACAGATTCACCGACGGAGGAGGTGATTCAGGGATGAGACGGCCAGAACGCGACGGGAAACGGCGGGCTGCTGGAGCAGCAGAGGATCAAGCCCAACCCAATTCAGACATGAAGAGGAGAGGCAGGATTCCAGAAGAGGGGAGAGAACAAACCCAGCGCTGTTCAACTAGGCCATCTGCATCCTGTCAAAGAAGTCTTGTTGGAGGGACTTTAGGGGCAAGTCGAGAGATCAAATAATTAAATTTTCCGAGAGATGTTTTTGGATTTGATGTCAGGCAGAAAAAAGCAAGCAACTAACTAAATCAAGTTATTATTATTTAACACAGGGTCAGATTACAAGTATGATACGGAACCATGGATACTTCTAGATGGCCCCCAAAAATAGGCTGATAACAAAACATGATTCATGTTTCAGTTATAAAGGCCAACAGAGGCAAAGGAGATTGGAAAATATTAATAACTCTTTCAAATTGAGTGCAAATTGAAACACTTTGTATTTCACATTGTAGTATTTACACAGTTAACTAATAAATTAATGACACATTTACCGTGCATCCTCACAGAGCTGTACTGTACTGTATTGTACTGTTACAAACAAATACATACACCCTCTGCAACAAGTGATGAAAAAAAGGTAGCCACGCCGCGAATAAATATAAGGAAGTTATCTGCAACGAACTCAAGTGACCGGCTCTTATCGCGTCCTCTCAGTTGTACTTGGTATATCTGACGGAATGGTCGGCTAGCTATCCGCGTCAAACCTTGGGAACCAGCGCTTCCTTGCATAAATCCATTATTACCCCACGAACTTGTGTTGACGTCGTCTCCCCCACTCTGGGGAACTGAACTGTTTTACGGAGCTTAAAACACACACCGTCCACTTCTAAAAAACCACTGTTCGCTATAGATTTCAGTTGATATCGGTAGAATAAAATACGAAACTGTCTAATAGTTCGAATTCCAAGCATGAGAGATAGAACAGGTATACACAGAGTGACATAAAATCTTGCTCGGAACCTCTGCTTGGTGTGGGCGCGTTTTCCCAGCAGTCCAAAGCCCGTCCCTATTGGTGAACTTGATCTTGGTTTCACAGCTCTCGCCTGGCCCAATTTCAATTTCCGACTGGCCGAGCAAGGATTATTGGGTGAAATTTCCCCGTTTTAGGCTGATCATTCAGACTGAATTTACCCCGGATGGCAAGGATGGAGGGGTGACGATGGAAGTGCCGGATCGGCTAGAGATGGCACTGTTTGCGCAAGGGCATCGAATGTGAAAAAGTTGATATACCAAGACTTGGGGCAATTGGTATCGTGTTATCCGGCGACCGGCGGGCTGCGGATTGATGTCTTTGTCGAGTTGTCGGGTAAAGGCGACACGAACAAAACCAAAAGGTGCCACAAATGGAAATTTTTTATCTTTTCCTTTGCTGTGCACCGTAGGCTTGTGTTGTCGGTCGTATATTCAACTGGTTGAACCCCGTCTGATCTAGTGGACCTTGCTTGCCTCGTCAAATCCGTGCACGAGGCTCGTGAATCCAGCAAAGGCCTTGGGCGTTTTCGTAGATGGTCATCGAGGTGGGGAGGATTGCCCAGCATTAGATATCGCGTTGCTATGGCCCAATCAGTCAGGCAGGCATATCGCTAGCAACACCATAACTAATTTTAATACATGTACAGTCCATGCGCATGTACTGTACATACATAGTTAGAGGTTGGCAGGTTCTTCTTCGCTTTTTCGCCCACTATTGCTCCAACGATTTACTATAACATCTCGGCATAAGCTGCATGTGACGCAGGATATATCCCACTGAGATCAAACCTCCATGACAGGGAATAATAGAAGAGAAAAGGCTGCTCATAGCCTGTTTTGCTTTCAAGTTCCAATCCCATTTCTGCCCTCAAGACCACCAGAACCAGTCAATTTCGCGGCGTCAGGCTCATTCTGCGCGGCTTTCTCATTATCATTCTCTCCAGCCCCCCCAGTGTCCCCCCCATGCGTGTCCCCTCCAGCACCCAACAGCGCCTCGATCACCTGTGGACGAATTACAGCCTGCCGGAAAGACTCGTCCTGCAGCAGCCGCAGTGCCCGTAACGTCGCGCCTGGATGTGTTAGAAACTGTACATACTCAGGGCGTTTCCAGTACGAGTATAGATAGGCGAGGTAGGCGGCGAATGCTTGGGCATCGGAGGTAGGAGAAGACGGGGAATTATCGCCAGCGGCGCGAGATGATGCGGAAGAGGTGGAAGACACCCCAAGGAGGTGAGGATATGCGACGGCTAGGTGCGAGATGTAATGAGGGTTCGCGAGGGAGAGGACGAATTCGAGCTCAAGTGTGAATCGAGGGTTTTCTACATTGGGGATGGGTGGGTTGGGAGAGTTCGTTTGAGCCATGGTGCAAGTAAATATCAAAGGCTAGACGAGTACTTCGTGAGATATCATACGATATCATACAGAACACCCCATTGAATTGCGTCGAAGATGTAAATGGTTGACACTTCTTGTTTGTTTCCACCAGGAGGCTAGGTTCGTCATCACGTGACATCAAACATTCTTGTCCAAACGATCTGGGAGAAGGATCATTCTTCAAGGGGGTACCATGGTATGGGTAAGTTATAGTTAGGGCGCTTATCCATTCAACTTAGTTTCTTGTTTATTATAATCTCGAAAACAGTAAGGAAATGTCTGGTTCACAGCTCCAAAAATGATACGCGGGCATACTGTAGCACAGAAAAACCGCTTTTTTTTTGTTTTTTGTATGTCACTTTGGGTCAAGTTGGAGTTGGTAAACCAATGTGGAACGCGATTTGAAACAACTCCTTTGACATTCCCAGTGATACGTGTACCTCTCTCATTTGCCACACACACATTCAAGAAAGGCTGCTCAGGTTTTGACCCAGGGGAGGGGGAACGTTGTGTACTTGCTTACGGCGCTTCATCGCCAGACAGGATGGATGGTCGATGGAGACCTCACGTTATGTTCTGAGCAATTTACAGCTAACAACGCGGGATATCTTCTTGTCAAAGGTACTTCTACAGTACCGTTTGTCTAAAGCATCACCCAGGTTGCAAAAGCTAAAAAGGAATATATCTAGTATCAAATTACAATCTCATAATATGGGTACACGTAAGAACTGGGAGGAACCATCATATAAAGTCGGCCTTGAATGAAACAAAATAACATAATGAAAGATGGCAGGAAAAAGGAAAAAAAAAAAAATGAAAAAATAGTGAGGGAAAGAAAAAACATGTCCCCTCGGTCAAGGGATGATCGTCTTGGAACATATGCAGCCCCATATGCACAAGGAGCTTGAGAAAGTGGGGGAAAAAAGGGAAAGCAAAGAAAATGAAAATGAACCGCTAGACCACAAAGATGTTCATTCAATGCGCATGCTCATGTGAATGAGCATGATGGTCAGTAAACACTCCATGTGCCGCGCACGCCCTTCTACAATCCTCCAAAATCCGCGCCTGCATAGCCACATCCCCCAGTTTCTGAATAACCTTCTTATTCCCACCGAGGAACGTAAACACAGCATACGGAATTTCAACCTCCTTGCAAAATTCCTGAACAAAACGCTGCGTCTTGCGCAGGTTATGCCGCGGGATTGTAGGGTACAGGTGGTGGATGGCCTGGAACTGGAGGCCGCCATGGAAAAAGTCAAGCCACTTGGGGCAGTCCACGTCCATTGTGGTGCGGAGCATCTTTTGAGCAAAGGATTCATGAATGCCCAGATCAGCGGTGGACATGGCGTAGTGGGATAGAGTAATTTGGACGTGCAGGGGAGCGGTGACCATGTGCGAGATGAGCACAAATAAGACCCGGCTTGTCCATGTGGGAATAGAAGCATAGACAACTCCGTAGCCAAACCAGGTCCAGAAGAAGACTTGGCCAACCAGTTCGAACCAGCGGTGCCACCAGGCAGGTCCTTTCTTGGGGCCGAGGCCCATGATGAGATACTCCCAGCTAAGGAAGTAGAGGTTGAAGCGGCCAAAGAGAAGAATTGGGTAGTACATGTAGTGTTGATACTTAACTGTGAACCGGGCCACGGCATCAAAACCCATGACTCTATCATAATAGGTGCTGCGGAGACTGTTGAAAAACCTCGTAGTTAGCGCAAAGAATGGCATAAGTTGGATATCAGGGTCGTGCTCTGGCGAGTTTGTGACAATGTGATGGACATTATGGCTGCGTTTCCACCAGCCTAAACTCAATCCCCCGATAAAATCTGCGACGATGATTCCAATCGTGGCGTCGACTTTGTAAATGTGCGTAATGCCATTATGCCCTGCATCATGGGCAGTGAAGACAAGTTGATGCCAGAAGCAGCCCAGGAAGAATGCGGAAATGCAAAAGTAGGAGCGGCGTAGGAAAAATATGAAGAGTCCGAAAAATATAGAATATCGGAGTGCTTCGACTGCGTAGGCGGAGTAGTTGCACTGGTAGAGTCCCGCGGCACGGATGCGCTTTTCCAGGGCACGGTACTTTGCGCTAATATTGGCCTGGTGAGCCGGATCCACGGGAGGGTAAGTGGTCTTGTCCAGTATGATTTCCTTCTGCGTGCAGGCGTCGACGATCGATAACCTCATTTCAGCCTCGGAGCTGAAATCTGCAGGTGGCGTGCTCGACCCAGCTGTCGACAGGTCTGTGCTAGAACCGTTTCTCCTCTCCCTCAAAACAGAATTCTCATCCGCAGAATCGAAGACTGGAGAAGGTGAGCGTGATCGTGAGCTCTCCTCACTGGATATCTCGCTCATTGTATCGGACCCGGTAACATCAGTGTCCTCCTGGTCTTTAACGTAGGTTCTAAAGCGGCCGCCTTGAATGGGAGGGAGGAAATTGGTCCATCTGCCTTCGACGCGGCCAATCTGGAATGCAGTCATGCGCTGTCTGGTTGCCTTGGAATGGAGTCTGAAGAATCGCCCCAAAGAAATAATAGTAAGCGCTGAACATTGAGTTTTGGACCTGGAAAATAAGAGGAAGACTGGCTCTTACGCGTTCACTTCGTCTGTGGCATCTCTACCTACCATGTGCCTGATAGCCAAATCACCCCCGGGATGGAACTTCAGCCAAGCATCGAGCTTAAGCACCTGGTCATCAACAACAACGATACATCGGCCATCGGCGATCATGCCCTCGATCTCCCTCCTCGACAAAACATTGGCCTTAGTCCTGGCCCCAGCCATAACTGGTGCAGAGGATCTATTCATTCAACGGAAAAATAACAGAGAAGAAATTCGGTACAGGTATATCGAATTTCCAGAGACATCGAACTTGGGAGTTTCGATGGGGTTGAAATTTGTCTAGAGATGTCGCATAGTGATGTTGAAAGAAAAAAAGATGTCAGCCAAAAAATCGAGAAAAGGGACATGATGCGATCCGGAGCACATGCAAGGGGGGGCGAATCAATAGCGGAGCCTAGAAAAGAGGACCATTGGTAACAAAGAGGGGCGAGTTTCCAATTTCTTTTATGGGGGTTAGACAGCTTCTGATTTGGCGGTCCCGGGGTGTTCCCACTGCCAACGCCAATCTGGGAGCGCCGCCATGTAACCTCCATCCATCCCAAGCACGTTCCTCCGCAAACGCCGCCCTAAGGGTCAGGTACTTCACTCTGTCCTCTACCCCCAACCACAACGAATTGAAAGTTGCAGAATGATCCTGTTAATCCACCATTTTCTGCCTTGGCAATGAATGACCCACAAAATACGTCTCAAACATAATTCCCCAAAGGGCCAGAGCTGCGACAATCCGCTCAAGCACAAGTGAATTTTGCCGTTGGAAGTTGGAACTTGGAAGTGAGGCCAGGTAGGCTGACGCGTTTGTGTAAAGGCCCTGACTAGATTACCCGCAAGCGTCCCGTCGGTTATTAGTTGGGTGTGAAAGCTTGGCACAAGACCTGCTCCGCCTATTAATGGGGGCAATTTGGAATTTGGACTCCTGTTGTGAACATAACACGGGCGCATTTTGTTAGTGAGTTGGCTTCACTGATCTCAGCAATCGCCTCCCGAACAGGCCCTTCTGTGACATCGATCACAACATCACTGAGAAAAATCGACCCTATATTTTCCAGTAGTAATGTGCAACTACTCGGGCATCTGTTCTTTCTCTTTCCAGGCATTTTCTCCGACATGGATCCCAGAGAGTGCGTAAGTGAATCGTAAGACATTATCTGGCGCTAAGGACTCAGCCCCCCCCTCTCTCTCAACTCACTCGAGGCCTGAAAGAGGATGGGAGGAAAACAGTGTCATGGCGAGTAGCGAGCAAGTAGCGCGGAGCCAGGAACGCATCATCCTTCAACATGTCACAAGGGCTGGACATGAGAGCCTTGGGGGTCCGGCGACCAGCGCGCCGAATTCTCCCCAGAGTTAGTATCATATTTATCAACAGAAGCGCTAGAATGAGTTGAGCTGGGGGTAGATGTTCCTGGTTGAAAAGCCAGTCAGTGGGTGATTATCGCAGATGGACAAGCGGGTTACTTGTAAAGAATTTTACCAACCAGACATCTCTTGGGCCATGATTTTCACGCTGGAATGTGGATTTTGTGAAAAAGGGAATGAGGGGCGGTAATATCTTCTTGCAAACCAGCGCCTCTCCTTTACAAGTAGAGTAGGCCGCTCGCTGCAACCTGATTTCATGGCCTGGGCTGAACTGAACTGCGGCACGTCTGTTAATTATTATTAGAGATGCATGCTGCGCTCCCACGCTCGCTAACTAACCTCCTCGAAATTGCGCTCTGCTGGCTACCTTGGCCATGTCAGTATTCGCCAGGGCAGAAATGTGACGGTATGAGATGAGGCAGCATGTTTCGCGGTGGGATGTGCCATCTGCTTGACTCTGCGCTTTATGGTCTCGCCCAAAGTTGAAAAAACAGGCAAGTCTGCTGAGCACTCTTGAGAAATGCGAGCTGGCAGCCTGTGATATAAGTACTTTCCAGCTTCTTGGGCTCTGATGAATTACCAAGTTCCGGGACTTCCGGTTTGTTCGTGGAATTAGTAATTGTTCCTGGGTTTTGTGCCGCCAGTCCGCCTTGGAGAGCACAGCAGACCCACCAGACAAAGACAAAACAGGACGCGCTCTCTCTACATCATATAATCTCGCGAAATGGGATAAAACAATTGTACCAGAATATAAAACCTAGCAGCAGAAACTATTTAATAATATTAAATATTATATATACGCGTAGTGTACGGTTCGAAATATGATTAATCTATTCATTTGAGTGTGCGTGGAAAAGATTAAAAAAAAAAAAAAAAAAAGCTTGAGCCCTGTCATCCGTGTGGCAAACAGACAGAAATTACTCCGTACCTTGTGTGCCAAAGCTCCAAGCACTGAACCCCGCTGTCTGACGGGGTGCTAAATAAAAATAAGCATTACTCACAAAAGGGCATCCATGACATCCATGGATCACAGAGTCTCCTTCCTGCAGGCCAAGTGCCGCTGCCTCACATTGCCTCACATATCTAGATAGGATTGCTAGGGTATATAAATATACTCACAAAGAGATTATCTTACAATAATTCCATAAATTCTACAATCTACCTCCGTGCTTCTTTGTACCATTGTTGCGTACGTGTTAATAGAAATTGTTACGCTGTAAAGCATCTTACGTATGTTTGCACGAAGAGAAATTGCTAATCGTAAACCTACAAAGGCGTCCGCCCAAGCCTACGATGAGAGATAGACTCACGTCAAGGGACCAAGCCAGCAGCAAGCAGCTCAAGAGCCATTCAGTGTTGCATCCTGCATTTTCTGCACTCCTGGCAGGCCCCATCTTTGCATCCACTCACATCCCATCACTTCCTCAATTGTGGCCCTTTTGCTAGGCTCCAGAACCAACATCAACTTTCATCATGTCACAGAATGCATTCTCTGCCTCTGCTGAAAAGGTATCAAACCTCTTTCTCTCCTGTGGGTGTGCTGTATATGTTCAGTCAACTGCTGGATTCAGTCCCTGACCTCTTTTGCTTCATGAATATTGATTCTACCATCATTCAGGATTAAACACTGATGAGTGCCATTTGGCCCAGAGACTGTGAAGGAATCAAGCAGCTTTTGTATGTACATGTACAACAGCCTTTCCAGGGAGCCTGGATTGAGCACTAACTAGCTGTGAAAGAATCTACATCTTCTGAGTTCACTCAGCTGATGTTGCAGCAGAGATCTAGAGGGCAATAAGACAATTTTGCCTTCTATCCCCTGCCAGCCAGGCTGTGGCACTCAACTTCTTCCACAAATTTGCATTTAACTCTGCTGGGTTCCATGTGTGTTGCCATACTTCTGTGTGAGGGCAAAAGAGAGAGCTGTGTCTGGCTGCAGGATGGTCCAGTTACCCATGATCTTAAGCTGCGAAATTGGAGAAAGGCATTGGTGGTTCAATTGGCCATGACTCTACGGAGTACCCAGGTGAGAAAGACATGTGAGTTATAGGATGGGAGAGTTGATGCTGTGTGGGTGGTTTACCAGGTATGTAACTCATTGAGCACAGCCAATCTGATTACTGGCAATCAGACACTCATTCAGCTTGAGTGTTAGCACATATATATACGGAGTATACTCTGTATACAATATTAACCAGAGAGTCCATCTTGTTTATAGTTGTTAACTCACCTGTTCATTCATCTGCAATCCAGCCCACTATGCCTCTCCTCTGGAGAGATTATTGACAGGGTTTCCTAGCTCGAAGATCCAAAATCCAGGGCGGATTTTTTTATTTTTTATTTTTATTTTAAAGAAATGTGTCTCAGGATCGGTCTTGTTCTACTTCTGCTATTATACTCCTGCTCACCTTGCGAAATATATAAAAGATGTATGGTTTGTTGATCTCCTCTAGCAAGCTGCTAGCTAACCAACAGGTCTAAGTACATGTACATTCATAGCAGATCTTTGTCCCTCTTTCTGTATATCCGTGTCTAGGACGGGGAATTCCAGGTAGAGGTGCAAAGTGCTACGACGACGGGGGGTTGGATTGGACACCCTTCAATCCGGATATCAGGCCCTTGGTTGTGGAAATGAAGATTATCCATTTTAAACAAGATTGAACTTGATCGCGGGATTTGGAGGTCTGGAGGTCGGGTCCCGACGCGTTGCGGTAAGGATCATGGAAAATGAGTGGTTTGATCTCGACAGGATTCCTGGTTTTCTTCGCGGATATTTGGGGGAATTTGAGTGACTATTATGGTGGTTTGAGTTCCGCATTGGTTATTATATAACTCCGTTAGTTAAGCCGGCTAGGCTCCAGGCGTGGTTGTGGAGGACAAGAACACTGGGACACGATGCAAGATCAACAGCAAGCAGGGCAGGGCATCATTCAGTGGCCATGGTTGGAGCTTAGGAAATACCAAAAGCTGCGAGCGAGTATAGTCAGGAACAGAAGTTAGATCGTCACCATGGAACAATAATGATGATACACAGGGTTTTTCGTAGCAACGTATCCGAACTTCCACGTAACCCACCTCGCTGTGACCTTCGTCCATTCCAGTTGTCCCGTGTGTTTTCGCAATCGTCATCCATTGATATCGTAGCTGGAGATCTCGATGTTGCAGACAGATATGGTCCATTTAATTGGCGTGAGAATCCCCCTGTGGAACTCCGTGGTGGCCAAGGATTGTGCATAGTAGTGTAGTGTACTCCGTAACTAGCGTAGTGTAGTGTGTCTCTCCGTCTCCGAGTAAGTCGGCTTCAATATTTATACATAATAGTATGCTTCCTTACCTACAACCTTCGACCTTAACAGCCCCCTTATTTAATAATTAGTTAATAATGTTCACAGTTGCACCCGCCGTCGATCCCCCTGGCCAGTTCCGCTTTTACCTCCCCCGTTATTAGCTATTATTATTCTTCTTCTTCTTTCATTCGTTAACATAAATAATAATATTATTATTGACCCGTGATCTCTCTCCGTAGGTTTCCCCTGGATTTCGGGAACATTGCTCAACTCCGTCCCAGGCTCTCAAATCGACCCCGTAACCAAGTCTACCCCATGTAATCCTCTCATCAAGCTCGTTCTCCGTCTGTTCTGTTCTGTTTGTCCTTGTCCGCTTCATCCCTCTCATTGTTGTTCCCCGCCCTTTGCCCAGGCTCACGCTCTGCTTGGTCGCCACATCCGTTTGTTTCACCTGTCAGGAAGCCCCCCGTTGATTCGTCCCAGCTGGTCAAGGGCTTTCTCCTAACATCACCAATCGATCTACTCCGCAGCTTTGTGAGTGATAAGTTAGCTGACTGCGTAAATATTATTAGTTTCGCCATTGCTGGGCGTATCCACCTCGTCATCGTCTAACTTGCCGTCTGTGTCCACTGCGTTCCCTCACACTCGTCCCTGATCATCATTCCATCGTCCGACATTCGACCAAACTGACGACAAAACAACAACGGGCGGTTAGGGGTTTCGAGCAAACAGAGGATACTTCGCGCGACCACCAACCATCCTCTGTTAGATCGGCCGTTTTTATTGTCGAATAAGAAGAAAGAAAATAAAGAAACCAAGAAAGGAGGAGCTGCTATCCAGGCCTGTTCCTGTTCCTGTTCCTGTCTTTGAACTGCTGGCTGTTGGTTTGTTCATAGGTTCACAGGATCCCCCTGCCTGCCGGTAGACTCTTTTTTGCCTGAAACCTGCTCCCAGCTGCTTGCCCCAGCTGCTGCTGCTGCTGCTGCTGCTGTGACTTCATCGTCCTTGCCCTTAATATTCGTAATACCACACTGTCACTCTCACCATGTCTCTTGCCCCGATATCTGTGCCAGGTGTGTGTGAATGTTCCCTTCATTTTTTATCCTTCATTGTTCAGCCATTTTCCCCCAATAACAATCAATCAACACAACCCACAAACCCAACACTATTATCATCTTCATCAACTCTTAATACCATAACCATATCCATCAAGCATTCTACTTCCTCTACTACTACATCCGCTTTATTGCAAGTCTTGGCCATTAGCGGTTTCAGACTTCCTGGCAGCTACCCTGCTGGACCCATCCGCCGCAATTTGAACTCCCAAGCCTGTCAGCCTATCCATCCAAGATCTTGCTAACCTCGTTTCACCATTCTCCTTCCTAGACCGGCAACCCTCGCCGCGATTGACTGTCAATTTGGGATCCAACAACCCTTTTAGAAACCGTGCTTCATCGCCTTCAATCGCTTCCCCCACAACTTCTATTCCGAGACAACGCCCAGTGTCAAGAAACCCGTTCCTGGACGACTCAGAATCTTTCACTCCGCTCCCCGATCCAAATCGAAATATGTCACCGGAAAGGCTTTCAACAGTGGATCCGCCGTTGACTGGACACGCTGCAGAACTATTTGTATGCCCCCTGAGCCACTTCTAAAAAATTAAAAGCGAAGCAGCAAGTACTGCCAACTCAGCTTTGTGACGTTTTATATTCTAATACAAGACCTATTTTGTTTTCAGGAAAACCTCTCTCTTGACACGCCAGTCGATAAGCCCTCGAGTTCGAAAGGAAGACGACCAGCTCTACCACGACCGGAAAACGTTCCCCCATCTAGACCCTCTCTCTCTGACGATAAGGCCTCCTCTCGCCGCCCCGCTCGACGACCATCCAAGGAAGAATCACAGTCACGCAGCAAAGGACACGGTCGGCCGCCAATTGGAGACATCTTCGCAGATCCTAAGGAACCCTCAAAATCCCGCAACCAGCGTCGACCCCGTCGCAACTCAGACTCTTCCCTCATGGATATCCCTTCAAGACCAATCGACCCTGAGGCAGAAAGACGGAGACGAGAACGGAGACAACGAGAGCGTGATGCCAAACCCAAGGACGGCAAATCTCGCAGCAAGCGATCAAATGGACATAGACTTGATATTATTGATAAATTGGATGTTAGCAGCATATATGGTACTGGCCGTAAGAATTAATTGTTCTCTTATAAATATTTTTTATCTCATGTTCAAAACGTCCACTAATGTTCCCTGTTTCTTAGTCTTCCACCATGATGGACCTTTCGATGCATGTAACCCTCACCGCAATCGTAAAGGGTCACGAGCCGCTCCGATGCAAGCTTTCGCAAAGGATTCGAGAAACATGGCGCTGGGCGGAGCGGGACCTAATAACACCAATATCGATCTCAATCTCTTCCATGGACGAGGAGAAGAGGGGTATGCGGATTATGCAAGCAGTGGTTTGACTAGCAGCAAGATAAACCAAAGCGCAGCATTTGATCCAACAGCCAAACTTGAACCAATCCATGGAGCTGAAAGTATGGGCTTGGGAACCAGTACATTCCTTGAAGGCGCTCCCGCCAGCCGTGCTGCCATACAGCGGCGTGAGAGTGAGAATGAAGCTCACAACTTACAGAATGGAGGATTGCAGCGCAAAAAGAGTCTTGCACAGAAAATCCGCGGAATTAACAATAGAGTCCCCCGTGTTACCTCACCGCCAGATTCTGCTATTGATTCCAACAACTATTTCACTCAGGCAAGCCCTCCCCGAGCTTCAGGCTCTAGGCGACCTAACGATAAAAACCCATTCTTCCAACAACAGGATTATGATGATGCATACGATAAAAAAGGCGCCAAGATCCAGCTTTCCGATGACGGCATGACAGATAACCTCCTCCCCCACACTAGACAACGATCAACTAGTAGCCCAAAGGCCATTCCGGGCGAAACAAGAATTACAGAAGGACGCAGCTCCAGTATCGGCGGCGGCGAAGACGCCAAGACTCACGCACACACAGCTAGTGGTAGTGGTGGTTTCATCAACCGGGTCAAAAGCTTGAGAAGGCCACCACAGCCTAAGAGAAGGGGCACGACGACAGCGGCCGGGTCTTCGCCTTGAGAACGTGGTTGTACGTCGAGAATGGCTATAGCGGAACACATGTGAGATGCATCGATTGTTTATTAGAATCATGATTCTTCATTTCCTTTCGGGCCTACAATTGTTTTTTACTCTCTTTCTCTCTCCCTTTCCTCACCCAAATCATTTATGAGGCTTCTCTCTGCTGGCACCTTTGTTTCCATTTTTGTATTTTGTATTCTTCTCTTTGATACGTTCTATCATGCCCCTCTTTATCTTCTCTTGTTTAGTATGCCCCGCTCTTTATTTTTATTTTTGTTCCTTCATTTTTGTGTTCAATTCTTGATATTACAGGCAGGCAGGCAAGAAAGATTAGTTTAGTTTAGTTCTAGGAGTTGTGTTTTCTAGCTCTCACACTCTCTTTATATTCTCTCTCTCATCAGCTTTCTTACACTTACACTATGCAAGGAGACATTACCTTGTTTTTGTCTCTTTGCATCTTCTTTCTTCAGTTCTTGTGTGTGTGTGTGCATACATGCAGCAACCAGCTTGGATTTTATTAGATTGAGTAGTTTAGTGCTGTGCTGCTGGCAGCTTGTTTGTTTGTCATTGCCTTCTTCATTTTTATCATTTATCATTTTTCATTTTCATTGATATGTTCATACCTCTCTAGTTGCGAAAAATGATAATTTATTTATTTAGAAACGCGGGACCTACTACAATGCCTATCTAGCTCCCCGTGTTCGACCGGACACAGGGCTCCCCTTATATGAATAGGGCTACACGATAGAGGGGAAGGGACGAAAAGAAAGACCCATCCACCCAACCCCGTGGGCTTGGAAGCCCGGTGTAAACTGCCCCAGGCTTTCTGCAGATATATATATATATAGCATATAGCATTCTGGACGCAGCAAGCTCCGCCTGGCCCCTCCCTCTACTTATTTATGGCCTGTATGGGGCACATGTCACTGTACCCCCTGGCGTTATCATACCCATTTGCATAGTCGTCATAATCGTCGCCGCCCCCTGATTCGTTTTCATCGATCGGCGATTGGCTCCATGAGGACTTGAGCTGGGCATTTGAAAAAAAAAAAAAAAAAAAAAAAAAAAAAAAAAAAAAAAAAAAAAAGAATGCTCTTGGTAGAATGCATCCTTGCACTAGGCGGGGCGGCGTTGGTTGGGTAGGCAGACATGAGAAGGTCTGGTTTGCGCGGGAAATAAAAATTTTCTCGTTGCGCGGTCGTTGCGCTGGGCACCTTTGTCACTGGCGTTGTCTAGGTAGGTAGATAGACATTCATCCATCTCGTTGCGCTCTAATTGCGCCCTTCGTCTGTCTGGTGGCTATAGTAAGGTATCCTTGTCAGGGCTATAATTTTATGTTCGTTGCGCTCTCGTTGCGCTCTCGTTGCGCGCTCCCCGAGGGCGATGCACTCCTTACTCCTATCCCCCTTTATTCAGGCTGGTAACTACCAAATCATGAGAGACCATGTCGATGATTTGGAAAAAAAAAAAAAAAAAAAAAAAAAAAAAAAAAAAAAAAAAAAAAAAAAAACTATATATAATCAGGATGAGGACTATAGTTTGTCGTAGGCTATTATTATTATATCCATTCTTTCCTTCGAAGGTTTGGCTATTGGGAGAGATTTTCTTTTCTAGGTCGGTCAGCAAAGTTTTACAAAAAGAGGCTTCTTTTCGCTTTTTGGATAGCTCTCCCTATTTCTGTGGTCTGATAGCAGCATCTAGTTACTACTATTTTCTAAATGTATCTAGCACCGTTGAAAATTGCAGCATTTCTGCTGTTGCATAGATATGCGGCTGCAGCAGATGGTGCGACTGCTGGGAATGAAGCAGCGACAGGTTTCCCTCCTGTAAGTCACCCGTCAATTCTTATCGCTCGCATACCCTTCCGTGATCACAATTACTGTACATATATGCATATCCCCATCTTGTCTTCAAGAATGAAAAAGAACTAATTCAGGACAGTGCGATGCGCTTATCCGGGCAGGTCTGGGCAGCCGACTGCTTTTGGCCACAGACGCGGAATACGAACCACGTATTGCAAGCTGGTGGTCTCTAGACACCCGACAGCGGCCCTGGTGCCTCGTGCAGCCGCGTGATGCGGCGGAAGTATCCACAATCATGACCGCCTTGCTCGGGGCCGGGGCTGGAGATGGTGCTGGAGACTGGCATGTTGCCGTCCGTGCAGGGGGACACGGCCCCAGGCACTCGAACAATATTGATAACGGAGTGACTATCGACTTGGGGATGCTGAACCAGGCCACCTACGACAAACGAACAAATCTTGCCAGCATTGGTCCTGGCGGTAGATGGAAGGATGTCTTGGCTGAACTGCTCAAGTATGGGGTGGTAGTGCCTAGCGGCCGTGATGGGGACGTTGGCGTGGGCGGGTTTCTGTTGGGAGGGGGCTCGTCGTACTATATGGGCCGTGAAGCGTTTGCCTGTGACTCTGTCAGGAACTTCGAGGTTGTTTTGACCAATGGCACCATCGTAAACGCGAACAGGGAGGAGAATGTCGATTTATGGCGAGCGCTGAAGGGCGGCGGGAGTAACTTCGGGATCGTCACCCGCTTTGATATGGAGGCTTTACCCGCGAAGGACATTGCGTATGGAACCCGCTTCATGAGCGTGGAGTACTCCTCAGAGCTGGTGGATGCGATTGTTCACTTCACCGACCATTATGAAGAATTCGATACGGACGCACTAGTTGCGTTTCTCATGCATAATACGTCAGCTCTCCCAATGGATGTCGTGGCCGCTGCGATACATGTCAACACTGAGGGAATTCACAACAGTACAGGCTTCAAAAAGCTGAACCAGATTCCGTCCCTTATTCCTGATGAGACGAGATCTCTAAGTCTCGCAGACGCTGCTGAAGACTCACAGCTCTCCTCCGGAACATGGTCTGTCACTCGCTTCCATTATAAAAAATTCAGGACAATTGCTAACACTAGGCCCCCTCTTGCTATCTATAGGAATTTTGGCGCAACGTTGACGTTTAAGAATGATAAACGAATCTTAGCCCACGCCGTGAAGCTAAATGAGAAATATGTCAAAGACATGAATCACGCCATTGGGCCAGACAATTTCGTGTCGCTGGTTTTCTTCCAGCCCGAGCCTTCGTTCTTCGGCGATATCAGTAAGCAAAGGGGTGGTAACATGCTCGGGGTCGATTCTCAAGAACACAACGCCGTCCTTTGGACCGGCGGTGTGGCGGTGAAAAGTGACAAGCAGGCGCTTGCCATCGCACGAACCCGGATGAGTGCCATGGTTGCGGAGCTCAAAGAGTTTTCGATTTCGCTGTGTGGGGATAACAGACTGATCTACATGAACTATGCAGACCCGTCGCAGGATCCTCTTGGGAGCTATGGCAAGGAGAACGTGGATCATATAAGGCGTGTGGCTGCGAAGTATGACCCCCTTGGTGTGTTCCAGAGAAGATTCCCAGGAGGGTTTAAGATATCCCGCGTGGACTTGTAATGGAAAGGGGAGCCGCTCTGTTTCGTCCCCCCCCCCCCCCCTCCTTCTTTTCGTTTATCATATGTTTCATTCGACGTTGGAGTTTTGTCTCTGGACTGCAGGTGTTTCTGGATGAGACACAACATTCGTTCCACTTTGCCAATGGTAATTTTGATTTGTAATTTAGCCTAGAGCAGACCTGATATTACGTTGCCAGACAGTAACGCCGAGACGGCGGTTATCATCCGACCAGTTCTGCTCCATGGCGGTTCTGGCATGCTATGTCCGATAGGTTGGATTTTGCTCTCATTCAATTCTATCACCAAATGATGTATTTGTCGATTCAAACTCCAGAAGAGAGCTCTGGATAAAGGACCAGTCAAATTGTCCTTGTAAAGTTCCAAAATTTTCAAATCCTCCTACCTCAGGCCATACGTCCCATCCGCCAGAGGGAACTTCGACGTCCAATCCACTAAGATCCGTAGGCACTTCGAGCATGCTGGGTTTCTCCGTTCCACTTGTTTCCTTTGAAACTCTTATCTTCAAATTTTCCATAACCTCACAAAGTCCATGGATGATTTTGCTGCTCGCAGCATATACACAGCCACCTGCAAAGGCAACGTCAATCGAGTTCCAGTCAGAGACCACCATGGACTCGATACGGCGTGCACATTTTTCAAACAACCCGAGCTGTCTCTCAAAATCCTTATGCAGCCTGCCAAAGCTCTTGAATTGAATGACGTTATTTTCCACTATATTTTTGCAGAGGAAGACGATCTCGAGGACGAGCTGTCGTGGTGGAGGGCGGAAGGCTACTCTATTCAGTGCCAACTTTTCTGCACATTCGATGAACATTTCCAAGATGGCTCCCAGTTTTTCCGGGTAGGGTCCACCAAAACGGCCCATAAATGCTGAGAGGGTCAGGACTTTCTCACTTGATATATTTTTACATGTGTCGATGAGCTGAGCACCGAGTTGGGCGGCTTCGTGACAATTGATTTCGGGATCAGTTCCGACTCTACCACTTTCTTGAAGCCTCGCTCGCAGCACGGTGGCGTAAAACAGTCCGGCGCCATAGATAGCAGTGTAAACGGAGTGAAATCGAATTTCAAGTAGGGAGCGGACGACCAATAGCTCGTTCTGGTTCCCGGGGCTGGACAAGCGTGCAAGCAAACAATCGGTGTGCTCTACTTGTTCTAGGCACTTCCTTTCGCAGTCTTCTGTAATGATAGAGAGGCTCTCTAGACTGCTCCAGCTTTGTTTCATATCTACCAGAGCTTCCAGCATGATATTGGTTGCCACCGTGTTTTGGATATGGTATATGATCCTTGGTGGGTATGAGTGATGTTTCAATACGTTTTGGTAAACTTCCATATGAGGCTTGATACAGCTGACCACTTTCCTCATAAACCGGAGCGGTTTTGTAATGAAGCCATCTAGCAGGGCATCATAACAGAATACCTGCAATCCTTGCAGGACGTCTGTAAGACAAAACTCTGAGCCGAAAAATTCCACAGCTTTCAGTTCGCCTGGATTTAAAGTGGCTTGTGTGGGCAACAATTCCAGTTTCTCTGCAATCCTGTATGCAATATTCACGTACAGTCCGGATTTTACTGCTTTATGTGCGACATTCGGAGAGCTAACTATAGCCGCGGGCCTGTAGTCAGACAGTAAAAGGCTGACCACAACCGAATCACGGTGAGTGGGTGGAGAGAAGATAAATTCTTGCCCGTAGCTTGACACAGTGAGCTGGATACTCCGCTTTAGGTGGTGATGTTTCTGCCCGAACGGAGTCTCTGGTGACTCGAAAGCAATCAAACAGAGCAATGCGAAGAGTAGATTCGTCGCACAATTAGAAGATGCACACTCATCTGAACTTAATCGATTCCGTATGCTCACCAGTGTTGGTGTTTGTGGGAGAAAGAATCGATGCCAAACCAAACTATTCCTGCCCTGGTTAGAAAGTGTTGCAAGTAAGGACTGGAGGAGTGGTGGACTTGAAATAGTAGATAGCTCACCAAGCATCAAGTGATGAGGCCATATCGTGACTTATGAGATCTAGGAGGCGCCGGGCGTCCCGGGGCGAGGTCGAATGGGGAATGGCTGAGCCGAATATTTTGTCGTTAGCCAATACTGAAGAGAGGAAACAATCAGGCTCAATCATCGATTGGAAAATCTCTTGTTTGCTACTCATAGTAACATGTAATTCGGATGGACTAAACCCGCAATCATTCTGCATGATTAAGATGTCGTCCGCTATATCCTCTGAGTAGAGATACCCTTTAACCTCTAGGTTGGAAGGGGTACTTGTAGTGCCCGTAACACGTACAGCCCCATCAGACTCAACTTCAGCCTCTGTGTGGAGGGCTGAACCATAGCGAGAAGAATGAGAATCTGTGCGCGGAATACGCTTTGCTGCCGGGCGTCCGAGAGAGGTTCGCTCGACGATGCACTCCAAATTAAGATTGCAGCATCGTTCGCAGGATTTTCCTGCGGCTTGCGGAATAGCTGAAGGTGTTATCTCACTTGGGTTTGGTAGTATGCATTTTATTTTTCTTGACCTGCAACCACGACAGATCAAGCGAGAGTATTTGCCTCTCGGACGTCGTTCTCCCCGTTGGTCCTGCATACGGGAAAATTACTCTTGCTTTCCCCAGCGTCACGCCTGGGAGACCTCGCAATTGGATCCAAATGGCGGTAGGTTGGGACAGGCTGGCCAGGAAGATATCAGTGCAAGGAGGAATAGGGAGTTAACAAAAAGTCTGAAGTAAGTAGATTGCCGGAATAACAGTGTCAGAACTCATGAATAGCCCATGTTTGATTTCCCCGTCGCTACAATTTGCCGTGTAGGTGTTGTATATATGAAGTTGACAAGATCTTTCGGGGAAACAGGAGGCTGGTGGGTTAGTTAGGGCTTTTCGGAGCACGTGGATGAGCAGACCGATATTTTTGATTAGGCTCCTTTTTCTCTTCACTTTGAACGCATCTCGATGAGGAATAAGTTATTAGTCCCCATGCCAATGCAATTAAATATTGTTGGTGGCTGCTCCGGTACTGCAATCATATCTAGCTAGACTATTTATATAACACACACAACATGAATCCTCCTACAATTAGTTATGTCACTTTGTTTAAGCAGCGGCGCCATTAGGCCGCGAAACCATAGTTACGCGACCAAAGTTGGTACTTGGCCCGAAAACCACCTAGCTGCGTAGTAGACGGATATAGGAGAAGAAAGCCGGGATTGATAACTACTTTTCTAAGTTAGACCACTTCAGCTGACATATTTTGCAGGTCTCCTTGTCATCCCACTCCAATGATGGGTTTCCATATATCCAACGGGAAATCGGCCGATATGGATAAACCTCCAATCCCATATTCGCTGCTCCAAAGCTACACACGTCAATGAACAATCATATCCATTATACACCCCTGAAAGATCAACATAAAAAAACAACCATGCCCCTAACCATCCACTACCTCCACAACTTCCAATCCGACCTCATCACCTGGCTCTGCGAAGAACTTGACATCCCCTACGAGTTAAAACCTACAAATATAAAGCACTGCACCCTTCCGGCTCCCTACCGATCATTCAAGATACTTTCCCTCTCCCTACGGACGATATGGAGAGAATACGTGAACCCTAACTCTCGCAAAAAGCGGCGCATGTGTCCAGTACATCTGCCAGAAACACGGCAACGGCAGACTATTCCTGCCACCAAGCCATCATGACTGTGCGGACTTCGTCTACTATTTCCACTAGGCCAATGGCACGTTTCAGCCATTCCTGGGACGCCTCATGATGTTGAATGCTGGCTCCGGCGGCGGCGGCGATGGGACCCGGGGCCGGGATCCCGTCGCCAATCCCAATCCCAATCCCATAGTAGCCCTCTGGAATGACAGGCTGACGCGGTCCCTGGAGGACAAGCGCTTCAAGCCGAAAAGCGAGGGCGGTGATGGTGCAACGTGGCTGGCCGGCGATGAGTTTACGGTGGCGAATATTATGGTTGTGTTTTCGTTGACGACGTTTAGGAATTGGTTTGCGTATAGCTTGCGTGGGTATGATGGGATTCTGGGTTATTTGGCGGGAGTTGGCGGGAGTTGGCGGGAGAGACGGGTATAAGAGAGCAATGGCTAAGGCGGATCCGGATATGCGATTGCTGTTGGGAGCGGAGGTGTCTTCATCGTAGGGTTGAGAGTGGGATGGAGGTGAACGGAAGGGTGTGAAGTGGGTATGTTACGCGAATGAGGGATGGGAGGGCGAAGATTGGGGGGAACAACTCCGTTTAAGAGTAATAGACGTAACTAGATCGTGGAAATAGCGTATATAGTCTTGATTTTTAACTGTTCATGTAGAAATATCGCACCCATGTGTATGGATGAGCAGAAATTTTGGAGAATAATCGGGACTAAAGTAAGCACCCTATTCGGGAAGCTCAGCTTTTATTCCTGAAACGAATTCGGGGGAGAAATAGCAATGGGAAAAGCTGCTCAAATGAAAACATCGCATATACAAACAGATGTCCTCAGAGAAACAAAAATGATAATAAAAGCTACGCACATTATTATGAAATGAATTATTATAACTGCATTTATATGCATACGCGGATAGGCAGCATGAGGGTAATGAACACAAAACCAGAAACACCACATCTCATATGACATAATTATCATCCTGCGGGCAGCCAGGGATACGCTCCCAACAAGGGGCCCAAATACGACCCATCATTGCACCGTCTCGAGACGAAAACTCGTGCATCCCAGTCACAAACCAAAGACATCAATAAGCAGCCCGCTACTTCTACCGTGCACTACTGTTCCTTTTGCACGTCGCCACTATCACTTGTGGAACCCGCAGTGACGCCAGCGCCTTTATTTTCCCTGACGGCGTACCCTTCAGTTTCCGCCGCATTGGTGTTAGAGTTGGTGCCGGGTGAATAGTCTTGATTATCCAGGATATCTTCGCGCCAGAAATCTCTCTTGCTGTTATCGTTGTCAGCCTGGCTCTTATCACTCTAGATGGTGGGAGAGTAAATAAATAAAAGGAGGGGGGAAGGGATTAAAAAAACTTTAAAAAATAATAAAAAATAAATAATAAAAAAATTAAAAAATAAAAATAAAAAATAAAAAATAAAATAAAAAATAAAAACTTACCCATTCACCAACCGAACCAACCACGCTGGCAGAATCCCCCCAGGAACCCTCCATGACCACGGCTCTTTCAGATTCTTATTATGTGGCACAATGCGGCCGCGCGAGGCCTTCTCAATGATGAAAGCCACCGTGTTCAGCAGGATATACGACATGATCCCTGCGATGAGGCCGTACGCAATCGAGTATGTAAAAGGCATAACCGCCAGAGTAATGAAGGCCGGAACCGCATCACCGACGTACGACCAATTGATCTCTGATACGACTTTAGTCATCATCGACCCGACCAGGACGAGCGTACAGCCAGTAGCCCACGGCGGGATCGAGGCGAATATAGGCGCGAAGAAAATGGAGACGAAGAAGCAGAGTCCCGTGACCATGGCAGTGATACCTGTGGCGCCTCCTTCAGCAATACCGGCGCCCGATTCAACAAAAGCTGTCACGGGAGACAGGCCTAGAAGGGAGCCAATTGAGATACTCAACGCATCGACTATATAGGCTATGGCGGATCCTTCAAAGTCTTGGGTTCTTTCATTGATTGCGCCGCAGTAGCGTGCCATAGAGTATAGGGTGCCGGTCGCATCGAGAATGTCGACGTAGAGGAAGGTTATAAATGCCAGGCCGAATTGGCCGCCTGCGTTGCTGAGATCCCAGTCATGGGCTATTAGTGTGTTCTTGATGGGGTGGAAGGTGACGACCTTCTTGAAGAAGTCGAATGAGTCGTCTCCCTTGGGATTGTGTGGGAAGAAGGTGACGTTGGTCGGACGGGGCCAGGAGATAATTGACACGAGTAGGATACCGGCGATGATGGCGCCCTTGACACGGTACATGAGGAGGATACAGGTGAACACGCCACCACAGAATAGGCCGACCCAAAACGTTGGGTTGCGCATTTTGGCTCCAGGGGGACATACTCCGTCTACCATTTCGCTCTCCACACATCCAGCAAGAGTTAGGGGCGTTGCCGTGTCGCCAGTGATGGCACCAATACCTGCACTGTAGGTTAAGCCTATGAGAGCTATTAAGGGAAATACATTTGTTAGAAACCGTGGACTTGGGGGGTGGGGTATAGGACAGAAAAAACAGGTCCAAGGGGACACGAAACGCACATAGATAGAGTCCGATACCAGCACCTGAAGCCAGCTTAATCGACCGTGGAATAGCTCTTGCCAGCCATTGGCGCATTCCGCATACCGACAAACCCACGAAGACAAACCCTTCAACGAAGACAGCAGTAAGCGCAAGTCGGTAAGGAACAGGGCCAGTGCCACGAAATCCAACAACGTTATACGCGAAATATGCGTTCAAACCCACTAACAGCGTAAATGGATTCTGTTAGCAATGATATATATTGAACCAAACTTGGTGTTGCACTATTTTCTCTTTTCCTTTTCCGAAAAGAGAAATACGTACTTCCAGGGCCCAATGCGATTGGCATATTGGCAAATAAACCCATACAGAACGACGAAAGGGCAGCTATCGCCGCAGTGCCTGTAATGAAGTCCCGCCTGATCGCATTCAAGCACAACTCATATTCCGTGTTTCCCATACATGTTGGGTCCACTGGGTCGTTGCAAACACATGTGCCGCCGGATTGAGAAGTGATGTTGGAATTGACCTGTTAGTTCATTAGTACTACCCATTTTCATGCTGTATTTTGCAAAGCCGCAAGGGATACGTATATGGAGAGGGGTATAAGTACATGCAGATATGATGTAGGCCATGGCAAAGAATGTGGTGAGGCCGGCACGGACTTCAGTCAAGAAGCGCGTGCCCTTTCGCTCATGTCGCTACGTGAAAACAGAAGATGAAATCGTCAGTCTGTAACGCTTTCCTTTGATTCGCCCTCTTCTATATTCTGGTTTTCTTTATTTTTGTCTGCTTGCTTACATGGCCAGAACCCTCCAGCCTGAAGCGGCGGCCGACAATGCTGCCCGCTACAGCACGGTTGACAGCAGCACCCCAATCCTTCATCTTGACGGGCTGTGCACACTTGGGGGGGGCTTGGGGGAGCGGTTGAGGAAAAAGCGAAGTAGGCCTGTATCTAGAGAACGGGAGGACGGCCAGGCAAAGAGCGAGGGCAATGGAGCGATGCCCCGGCTATATAAGGAGTCGCATGCATCTGGAGGTTATAATTATTTTATTTAGAGTAGGATTTGTGTCGGCCATTTTTATAGTCTCCATTTTTTTTCTTTTTATTTTGTCCCAATATCTTATCGCTCGTAAAAATGCAGCTGTTTCATTGGTCATTCTTGTGCTTTTTTACGGGTCTGTTCGGCTTTTGGCTGCAGCTCGGCTGGCGCAGAGCAAGCAAGGGAAGAGGACCGACCGAACCAAGGAAATCTCGGGGAGGGTTCAACTGCAGGTTGTTTCCCGAACCAATCCCAGCTTTGTGTCAGCGGCGCCCCGTAGCACATGCAAGAAACATGAGCTTGCTGGGTGGCTACAGGTAAGCCAGTAGGCAAAACCCCGATTCTCTTTGGGAATTACAAACTCATTATGAGCGGACCCATATCTGTGGACAGCCAAGATCTTGTCCCTGTCTGCCCTCTGGATGTTACAAATACAGCTTCTCGGGGTTTATCTGAAAGCAATGAGGAGCTGCCTGTCTCGCAATATTGAAAATGCGCAGTTGGACGGAAGACACATTCATCTTTCGTTATCAAGCTCGGCATGCATGGATATTCTGAGTTTGTCCAACTTGGACTCCATAACTGGGGACTACCACACGGCGGAGAAGTCCGCAATGTCTTCTTCCTTGCTGATAGGACAAAATCGTCCTGTCATAAGGTCAGACCAGCAAGCCGCGACCTTGACAGCGCAAGCTAGTCAGGCGCTGAAACTGAATTCGCGACGACACTGTTTGATTGGGACGGCGAGTGCCGGCGACATCATGACTTTTCGGATTCTGTCCAGAACATTCTTCCTCCCCCAAGCTTCGACGGAGAACTAAAAGAGCTACCCCGCAAAATATGAAACGTCGCACCGTTGGCGCGGCCTGAATAGTCTCTTATTCTACCCGCTTGAATCTGGGGAAACTGTGTTTTGGCTAGCGGGCGGGTCCGAACGCTAGGGTGGCATTTTGAAGTTTCCCGAAACGAGGATTTGAGAGCTATCCTACCTGTATTATTAATAATTATCGAGCCGGTGTCCTAACTGTATTAACCTGGCTGGTTCAATCGATTGACACATGTTATGAACGACGATCGGATCGAACTCGTGCAGAGTGAAGCACTCAGGGGCTTACTGAGATAGGCAGAATTGAAGTCCGTAGAAGATTGATTAGTTATATCGTTCTTGTGTAATAAAATATAACTATACCTGGTACAATGGCATGGCCCTGTAGCGACCTGGATGGGCAAGTGGGAGTGCATGCACGTAAACAGATGTGATGCCCTGATCTGAGAATAACGAAGTGCACACGAAACAACCAACAATACCACCATTCGTGTCAAAAAACATATTCAACCAAACTCTGTGAGGGGCATAGAAAGAAAGATACGGCAAAAAATAGGATACAAAAAGAAGACATTATATTTCAATGCATCATCCGTGAATCGAACACGGGCCCCATCGAGTCACAGGACCTGAGCGAGGTCAGGTGAGATGGCAACGATGGATTCTACCACTAGACCAATGATGCTGGCTTCTCGTTGTTGCAAAAAAGGAAGCAACGACCCAAATAGGTAAAATGCACACCAATAATTAGCATATTTACGCAGTACACGCCATATGTCATCGTGCCCGCGCGTGTTGCATATCAAGTTAATATTCATGACCCTAATAAAAACCGCTTGAAATCAATATGCTTCTATACTCAAATCAATTGAACTACCACTATTTTATTCTAATAATAACGAGGCTAGCTGCATAGTGTCTAAAAAAACCACCATCTAAAGAACCCGCTTCGTGTGAAAAAGATGCCTGTCGTGCGCAACCGCCGTCGCGCTGTAGGTTCCCATCCATGTCCAAGGAAATCGGACCTTCAAACAAGTTTACTGGACGTCCTGGCTAACTCATCTATCTCATTCCCTTTTTTGGAACAGCCCGATGATGAAGATGAAGCGGAGATGAACTCAGACGCCTCATCCGAACCCCAGCAAGCTCCCTCCCAACGATCCAGACAACAACAAAAACGACAGCGGCGCCAGACCTCTGATTCCGATTCGGATGCCTCTTCAGATGGCCGGTCAACGCCGGAGATGTTTACCCAATTCCACAGAGCCACTGACGTGATGGTCAAGAAGCTGGTGCGGCTCGCGCTTGCAAGCGAGTATTCGCGGCAGGTGATCCGGCGGACTGATATCAGGGATAAAGTCCTGGGTGAGCAAGGAGCGAGGCAGTTTAGGATGGTTTTTGAAAAGGCGCAGACGGAGTTGATAGAGAGATTCGGCATGCAGATGGTAGAGCAGCCATTGAGGGAGAAGGTGACGATAAGTCAGAGGAGAGGTGTGTGTTTATATATATATATATATACATTTTTCCTTCCATGACCTGTTTAATTTCTTTACAGATTGATACCATTTCTTCGTCTGTATATGTAGGAGAAATATATGCACAATAATATAACTAACCACTGCCTTCGATACCAGCCGCCCAACGCACCGAACGACCTGCCACAACCTCCAAAACCTGGACGGTCGTAACCACCCTTCCCCCTGCCTATCGCACCCCAACCATCCTCCCACCCTCACGTGCACCCTCCTCCACAACCGAAAGCACTTACACCGCCATCTACACCTTCATAATATCCACCATCCTCCTCTCTGGCGGCTCCATCCGCGAACAGAAACTCGACCGCCTCCTCCGCCGCGTCAACGCTGATAACTTCACACCCATCGACCGCACGGACAGGTTACTCGCACGCCTATGTAAAGAAGGCTATATCGTGCGTAACCGGGAAATGGATGGCGGGGAGGAGATTGTGGAGTATCTTGTGGGGCCTAGGGGGAAGGTTGAGGTGGGGGTTGTGGGCGTGTCGGGGTTGGCAAGGGAGGTTTATGGGTTCGGCGAGAGAGGGAGTTCAAATGTGAATGGGGGTGAGGGTGAGGGTGTGCCTGCTAAGAGGCAAGAGGAGGTAGAGGCGTTTGAGAAGAGGTTGAAGAGGAGTTTGGGGATAACAGAACCGTTGCATTTTGGGAGGGGGGAGGGTGATGGCGATGGCGATGGTGATGGCGATGGCGATGGCGATGGCGATGGGGAGGAGTGAGGCTTGGTAACTTGTCGGTTTCTGCTATATGCTCCTTTTTCTCTCCTTTTTTCGTTTCCCTCTTCTCTACTATGTTTTTAGTAAGTAATGACTTCTGCACTTCCCAGCCTCCTCCATACACCTTGGTCTAGGGGAGCTTTTGATTTCGATGCGAATACCTTTTAGCACTTGCCGTTTTACATATGACGTGTATATGGTATCTGTTTTTAATGGTGAAAATAATTCTATTTATTTGTTGTATATCTCTCCAACCTATTCCCTCCATATTGCCCTTCGAATAAAGGAAATGAAAACAAGATGAAGAAAGGAAGAACGGCAGCCACGACTGGTTAGGAAATTGACATTTTTCCGCTGAGGAACGAGATACATATATATACTCCCGCTAACCTTAAACAACAATGGTAAGAGACCCCATATAAGTAAAAAATAACATACAAAGGAAGAAAAGTTGATTTGTATCCACACCTTGCGAGCTTTCTCTATTCCTATTCCTGATACAGGTGGGTATATATCTATATATATCTGACCGGTCATTTCGGGCATGGGCAGTATGTGCAAATTGAGACGAAAAGAGGGAGAGAAGCGGGTACATGTACAGATAGAAGCGCTGCATATAAAACATGAGCCACAATAACTCGAGGGTAAATAAAGGGAGTAGATGGGGCAACAAGGAAAGAGGATTCGTTCAGGCCAAAGCGAAATACATAAGAGGGAGATAATAGACGAGGAGACGCCTGCAAAACATGCATCGAACGCTAGGTAAGGGGCAGCTTTCCACTTTTTCGTCATTACTTTCTCCTCCGCTTTCTCTTTTGTTTTCGCTGATGTGCGCGCACGTGAATTGAAAACGCTGGATTGATTCTAAGATAGCGGAAGTTGGAACCGAAAAAAAGAAAGAAAGAAAGAAAGAAAGAAAGAAAGAAAAAGAACAAGAAGAAGATTCGTAGAGGGTCATGCTCTTAAACCCACGCAGCCACCCTTGGGCTGCCCTTTTCTCATCCTCACTCAGAATCACTCGCACTATTCTGGTCCCCAGCATCATCATCGTCACTATTAGCATCATTCTGTAATGCCAGCCCTTCATTCAAGAGATATTCCGCCTGCCTCAATTCCTTGCGCACGTCTTCCGGTATCATATCTGGTAATCGTGAGGGGGTCTCGCCGTGTTTATTCGTGACTCGCGGGTCACAGCCCGCTTCGCACATCATTTTTATCATCGTGATGGCGTCTCGGACGGAGTTGTAGCGGCTTGTATCGTTTGCGTAGCGCGCGACGAGGTGGAGGGGTGTTTCTTTGTCGAGTCGGGTTTTTGGGTCGCATTCGAAGAATTCTATGTCGAAGAGGAAGTCGGCTGCGTGGTCTGTGGTGTGTGCGTACGGAAGTATATTGTTAGATGATATTGCTATTTCCTAGTTCTTTCACTTGGAAATAATTTCGTTGTTTTGGGGGGTACTGGAATCACTAAATGTGAGGTGATGGAGAGCCGGGTATAGAGTTAACTGGGATGGCAAAAAGGGACGCCATGCTACTCACAGCTGCCATGCATAGCACATATATGAAGCGCATAATTTCCCAAAGGGTCCGTAACGCTATTAAAGAAAGCAGCAATTTCCCCACTCGTTTTCTTTGCGTTTTCCATCTCTATAAGGACCTCTTCTAGGGCATCCGTGTTATCTTCGCGGCAGGCGGCGGAAACTCTCTCGGCGGGGCTAGCTCCCTAAAATTCCAGAGTTTTGTGAGAAAGCTAGCGTTTAACGACATTCGTAAAGGATTCAAAAAGTGACTAAAGTCGACGTACCTCGTCGTCCGTTACTATCTTATTATTTGCCGAGGGCATTGTGTTGTGTTTGTTGTTGGCGGTTTGCCTGGAACGTATTTTGAGGCAGGGTGCGGGGTATGGTTTACGCTCTCGATTTTCAGTCAAACTTCGAGGGACCTATGAATAGAAAAGAAAATGGATCAAATCCATGTGAAGTTAGCACGGGTTAATAAACAAATTAGGGAATACTGGACAAACAAGTGCTGAAGTTGAAAGCCTTAAAGTTATGAAGGGGCGGATGTAGCGCAACAACCAAAGCGGGGAAGGGAACCTACCAGAGCTAAAATATGATGTTTCTGCACAGTTAACCAAAAGGAGCGTTATCCTGACCTGTCAGGTACACCCCAATCAGCTAAGGAGAGTCTTGGTATAGAGCGTCGCCGTCCTTACTCTTGTTATGAAATCGTTAAATGTGTATCAGCCCCTCTGCAACCAATAAATGCAGGAACAAAGATATTCCGGGGGCCCTTGTTTGTTTTGCCGCAATCTCAAAAAAAAACTGCGCTTAATTAAGTTAAGTTAGTTATTGATAGGCAAAATTAGCCGCGCGGGAATAATTTTCCCGGCAGATTGACCAATCAGAAAGCTAACCTTTGTACATCTTAGCTCCCGACCTCCACCCATTCTACTCAATTAGCTCATGGGACCTAGGAGATAGTCCTGGAAGGCTACGACGGGATGCAATGAGTTCGCACGACATACCCCTTTTCGGAAATTCTTCCGTGTGATAATGATATCACTATCTATAACATATACATCTAGATAGTCATTGATTTGCTCCTCCCAATCACTGAGAATTCAGCAGGCAAAATGCCTTTGACGTGTGAGTCTCTCAACCTTCATCCAAATACGATATGACCTGCGTAAAATCCCCCGCTGAATAGACAATGAGCTAATTCACAATGTGTTTCTAGTTTGCCCAAACTGTAGCAATGCTCTTACCATCTCCCGGGCGGATCCCACCCCTCGCTACCCGCTAGGTGTCAACCGATTTGAATGCCGAACCTGCCCCTACCAGTATGTCCTCGACCGAACGTACTACGAGCGGACAGAGATGAAGCGGAAGGAAGTTGCAGATGTGCTAGGAGGGAAAGATGAGTGGAAGAATGCTGATAGCCAAGGGAGTGAGTCACCACCTCCCCTTGCATTTGCTTGACGTGGAAATAATTCGGATCGTTCCCTTTTACCACTCCTCCCTGCCCCACGATTGGAGTGATTTTCCTTTTGGCTGTTTAGGCCTACAGACGTGCATTTCGTCTCTATATATTTTGCCACGAGTTCTGACTATTGTTCCGTCTGTCCGTTGTGTGACTTGCAGCGCAATGCCCCGCCGAAGGCTGTGATGGCGACCGTGCATATTTTTACCAGTTGCAGATTCGAAGCGCGGACGAGCCAATGACTACATTCTTCAAGGTACGATATAAGTCTTAAAAGAAAACCAAACATATGACACTCTGCTCCCTCTCTTCCCCACCCCCAGGATTTAGATCTTTGTAAAGAACGAAAAAAAAAAAAAAAAATAATAAATAAAATAAAATTTGAAGGCCAATGCTGAGCTGACAACAAATGGCAGTGCACGACCTGCGGGGCCCGATGGAGAGAAAACTAGGCCAGGACAGCTCATCAACCCCTCTACCTCTATTTATGAGTCATCGCCGATTCCTTGTATTAGTGTGATGGTTTCGCCTGGTTTTGTCACTGTTGCGACTCCAAGGCAGCTGTGTCCGCTCGTTTGAATCAAAGTGTACTCTTATTTAGGAAGAGGGAGTTTTTCGGAGAGGTGGTTTGAATATCTGCAAAGCGACAGATTGGAGAAATTCATCTAGCAGGACGAGGCATCTAAGCTGGTTTACCTTACATTTACTTCCTTTTCCTTTCATTCATTTTGTTTTTAGCTTTGTTTGCATGTGCTGCTGCTACATAGATACCCACTACATCAAGAATTCAAGATATGCAAGATTTGTCCCGCATAAAAAAACTTTAGTACTGTAGCTTGGAATATTGAACAGAGTACATGACGAAGAGGCCAGGAAGCCTGTTTACTGATCACCTACGGGATTTCAACTCTCTGATGGTGGGTTTGGAAAATTGCTCTACAATTCTTCTGAACGCCTCCGTCTCCTGTAGGAGTGAAAGTAATTTTTTTTCTTCGTATTGGTTTGATAGAGAGGCCAACCAATAAAGCCCACTTTTTAATCAGACCAAGTGTCCGCTCTCCAAGACCAACGCCCACACCTTATCGTGAAGGGACTCTACGAAAAGGCGGTAACTAACCCAGCAAGGGGGGTCTTCTTGCGATGGTAGTAGTACGTAGCAGCGAACAAAAATTTTCTCTTTTTTTTTTTTTTTTTTTCTTCGGCTGCCCGCCCAACCAACCGCTAGGTTCCCCACCACTACCCACCAGGCAGCCCTGAGCCCCTCCAAAAGCACGGTGATAAGCGGCACGTGATTGCCCAAAGCGGACTAGTGGCCTCGCCTCCTGCACTTTTCCCCCCCCGCCCAGAAAGCATACAAAAACCCCTCTCCTCGCACAAAAATTCTTTTCCTTTCCCTTTTCCTCCCCCCGTCTGCTTCAGTACGTATTCTCTCATCCCTCACTGCTCCCCATCTCTTCGCTCCGCCTCATCATCACATCTCTCTATCAACTGTTCCATCTCTTCTAACTAACCTCTGCCAGCACCTCTACGCATTCTTGGCCGTAGTATCTGAGCGTTCTCCTGGTCTCTTCTAGTATCTTCCAAAGAACTACAAGAAATCCAATCTATTTTATCCCAAACTCTCCCACTTTTCACATTCACATCCAGTCAAAATGGGGTAAGCGTCTATCTATTCCATCTGTCCGATCCATCCCGATTTCCTTCGCTTGACTAACTCTGGTGCTTTTTTCTACCACACAGTAAGGAAGAGAAGCCTCACATTAACCTCGTCGTTATCGGCCACGTCGATTCCGGCAAATCCACCACCACCGGTAAGCAACCCCGCCTAACACAATACACTCTAGCTTTATCACACGTTCTTCTCACTGTTGTTTTCTCTATAGGTCATTTGATCTACAAGTGCGGTGGTATTGACAACCGTACCATTGAGAAGTTCGAGAAGGTAAGCAAAAAAATCGGCGAAATCAATTTTGTTGCCTCTGATATGATTTATTTTATTTATTTATTTATTTTGTTTTTTGTCATATTTTTTGTGTTCTTTTACCCCTCTGTTTTGGGTTTTCGCTAGTTGTGTTGTGATTCGCCAATTTGTTTTTCATCATGGTGGGGTAATTTTAGTTTTCTGTGACATGTTGGCCTTGCAGCCAAAAGTGTGCTGGTCGCTCTGTTCAGCCACCGCTCTCTCAACTCAAGATAACGTGCATTTTTTTTGGCCCTCCGCTCGGCATACATTGTCGGCCTACCAACCACAACCCTTATATTCTTATATGGTTGTCACTTTTTGTTTTGTTTTAGGGGAAATGTTTCGAAAGATTGTTTACCCTGATTTCAACATCTTTTCTGCACAAAGCGAGCTTTTACCCTATCCATCGAGTATGTTCTAACTGTCTACGTATAGGAAGCCGAAGAGTTGGGCAAGAAATCCTTCAAGTATGCGTGGGTCCTCGACAAACTGAAGTCCGAGCGTGAGCGTGGTATCACCATCGATATTTCCCTCTGGAGATTCGAAACCCCCAAGTACAATGTTACTGTCATTGGTGAGTTTCGATTGGTACCCCCTCTAGTCAGATTTCGGCTTCAAGTATCTATTATCTAACATGTCCCTTTCTAGACGCCCCCGGTCATCGTGACTTCGTCAAGAACATGATTACTGGTACTTCCCAGGCTGACTGCGCTATCCTCATCATTGCTGCCGGTACTGGTGAGTTCGAGGCTGGTATCTCCAAGGATGGCCAGACTCGTGAGCACGCTCTGCTCGCTTTCACCCTCGGTGTCAGACAGCTCATCGTTGCCATCAACAAGATGGACACCACCAAGTGGTCTGAGACCCGTTTCAACGAAATTATCAAGGAAGTCAGCAACTTCATCAAGAAGGTCGGATACAACCCCAAGTCTGTTCCCTTCGTGCCAATCTCCGGTTTCGAGGGTGACAACATGATTGAGCCTTCCCCCAACTGCCCTTGGTACAAGGGCTGGAACAAGGAGACTGCTGCTGGCAAGGCCGCCGGTAAGACTCTTCTCGATGCCATTGACGCCATCGACCCCCCCGTCCGTCCTACCGAGAAGCCTCTCCGTCTTCCCCTCCAGGATGTGTATAAGATCTCCGGTATTGGCACTGTTCCCGTTGGACGTGTCGAGACTGGTGTCATCAAGCCTGGTATGGTCGTGACCTTCGCCCCTGCCAACGTCACCACTGAAGTCAAGTCCGTTGAAATGCACCACCAGCAGCTCCAGGCTGGTTACCCTGGTGACAACGTCGGCTTCAACGTCAAGAACGTTTCCGTCAAGGAAGTCCGCCGTGGCAACGTTGCCGGTGACTCCAAGAACGACCCCCCCAAGGGCTGCGAGTCCTTCAACGCCCAGGTCATCGTCCTCAACCACCCCGGCCAGGTTGGCGCTGGTTATGCCCCAGTCCTCGACTGCCACACTGCCCACATTGCTTGCAAGTTCTCTGAGCTCATCGAGAAGATTGACCGCCGTACCGGAAAGTCTGTTGAGGACAACCCCAAGTTCATCAAGTCCGGTGATGCTGCTATCGTCAAGATGATTCCGTCCAAGCCCATGTGCGTGGAGGCCTTCACTGAGTACCCTCCTCTTGGACGTTTCGCTGTCCGTGACATGAGACAAACCGTAAGTTTTTACATCCATATTCATTCTAACCATTTATATACATTTTCGAACCGTTGACTAATTTCCCAAACCAATACAGGTCGCTGTCGGTGTCATCAAGTCCGTCGTCAAGTCCGACAAGACTGCTGGCAAGGTCACCAAGGCCGCCCAGAAGGCTACCAAGAAATAAACTGGCTAGCCCCTAACACACCCCCCCAACCCGCCCTTAAACAAAAATGCTAGAATGAATAAAGAAAGAGGGGATGACCGTCCAGGCGATGGGGATAAAGGAGGTATTATTTTCCCTTCTCTTTTCTCCCTCTCACCTTTACGTGCGGAAGAGCGGGCGAAATGTGACCACTTGACATAGGTCTTTTTATACCTTATCGTTATTTAGGAGTTGCTTTTCGTTCTTCTTATGCTCCCTTCACATTTCTTCTTACCCTGGTCTCCCGTGGCATTTTTGTTTTATTTTTCATGTCCTCTCTAGTTAAAAGGAAAAATGGCTTCACGATTTATTTTCTCTTTCTATTAGATGGGCTTTTTTCTCACACCTACCCCCCAACCCCCTTTTCCTTTTTTTTTTACGAGTACGAAATCCAAAAATTCCAAAATATTAATGACCGTTTTTAAAGATTCTTTAAACTTCTTCTCTCCTCTTCAGCCTCTATATTCTTTTGAAGTAGTAGTTTAATAATACACCCCATGCATTTTTCACATTTGAGGGCAAGACTTGGCCCAGTTAATACCGCTATCAATGAGATGGCTATTCAAAGCCGTAGATGCGAAATACTTCCTCTACCATTATCCCGCCATCCCTCAATTAATGATTGAACCCCTTCGTCGTGAGTTTGAAAATGAAAAGCAAACCAACGATAAAACCGTCCATTCACATTCACTCTCTATCTGATGCGAAATGGAAAATAATACTATATGAATTTCTTGTCTTTCCCTGATAATCAATCTCATATTCTGATATCGCTGGTACTATCATCTGTTTCATCTAATGTAATAATATATCTTCTTGGGAGAAATATATATTTATATACATAATTTTGCTGATAACATACTGCGTATATGTTTCTGTCGCTATCTTTCGCCCCTCTTGAATCTATGCCCTTTGCGGGGAATCAATATTTTTTGTAACAGCCTCCGTTTCACAATTCAAAATAGCGTGGAGGTTATTCTGACAAGAAGTACCTACGAGATAACCTCTGTGGCTTCATGGAGGGTTTGTTAGTGTTCATTTGCGGAGCGAAGCGAAGCAATATGTTAGGTGCTTTAAAAACCTGATTAGAATAGAAGGTGCGATCTTGCAGGCCCCATTCTGCGATATGATTGGTTGAAAAAATGCACACCCCATGTGACCGCCTGTAGAGGAAGCCGCAATGGCCTGTATAGATAGTCACCACTCATTAAGCAGGTAATTATGGCTTCAATTGCTGCAATTAGACTGGCCGGCGGGACCATGAATTTCACATGTGATCCCATTTGGTCTGGTCTCATACATTTCTTGGCATGAGTCTCATCAGGACCAAGTCTTAAAAAAATCTGAAAATGAATCATTTCTGAGAGAAATGATGTGAAAAATAATCAGATTTAATTCAAGAACAGTGAAATAAGAGTAATTTCTCAGAATAAACTATGAAAGATGATTATTCTTTTAAAATCAGAATAAGACTGAGACTGAAGATTAAAATCAGTCTTATTTAATTTATTCAGTGATTACTTATATAATCAGAATTTAATAATAATTATTAATAATACTTATGAAATAACTAAATATATTCTTATATAAGTTTATTCTTTACTTTCTTATAAAAACTATACTTCTCTGATATATTATAATCAGAGATATTAAACTATCTAATAATTCTATATTTTATAATTATAAATTTCTTAATTATTTCTTCTTATAATTATCTCTGATAATAGTAATAAATATTTTAACTTAAGTTAAACTTTCACTTTATTCTTATCTCTGTTAATAAAATTATTAGAATATTATATATTATCAGTGTAATAGTTAAATATATACTCTTAATAATTTTTCATAACTCTAGAATTGATTTAATATATAAAGTTATTGAATTATCTTAAAAATAGTAGTTAAATTCAGTTTTATAAGTATATAGTTTTATCTAATTTTCAGTTATAATTAATATATATAAGTTCTGTTTCAAAGTTAGTATTATAGTTCTATATAATATAAAGTATTATTAAAGATTATTATTTACTAAAGAATTATATTTTACTATCTTTATATCTTGAATATTTACTTATTTAAATCTCTAATAGTTAGTATTGTAGTAGTCTTAAACTAATTTAATATATAAGTCTTATTTCTTCTCTATTCAATCTTAAGAAGTATAGATATTAACTTAATAAAAGAGATTTAGTAGAGCTACTATAGTATAATACTCTATAAAAAATTATTTAGTTTTACTGTAATAATATATTAGTTTATTTCTTATAGTAATAATAGTTCATACTATAATATTATCTCAGACTGAATTTCTTTTTAAGTGATTTAACTGCTTCTTAAGATAAGTAAATAAACTATTATATACTTATTAGACTGACTGTAGTATTAATATATAAGTAATTAAGACTATCTTTATTATTTTATAAAACTGAAACAGTAAATTAATTATATATTTTAACTAAGTTTACTTTATATTAGAAAGTTTTAATATCTGAATCTTTTCTTAATCAGAGTATTATACTCAATAATTAATTATTTAATATAATTAAAGAGTCTGAATAGTTATTTTATATATTAAACTTTACTATATTTTAATATTCTGTATTATATTCAGTGATATGACTGATTTATTTATTTATTAAATATTATAAAATTATTATTATTATTTAGAGAAGATATAAATTATATTAATAATATTTTAAATCTATGATATTTAAATTATTAGTCAATCTATTTAAAATTAACAGTAGTATTATTAAAAAGCATTATTAAAAAGTAATATTAAAAAATATTATTAAAAAATATTATCTTTTATCTTTATTATTTTATAAAACTGAAACAGTAAATTAATTATATATTTTAACTAAGTTTACTTTATATTAGAAAGTTTTAATATCTGAATCTTTTCTTAATCAGAGTATTATACTCAATAATTAATTATTTAATATAATTAAAGAGTCTGAATAGTTATTTTATATATTAAACTTTACTATATTTTAATATTCTGTATTATATTCAGTGATATGACTGATTTATTTATTTATTAAATATTATAAAATTATTATTATTATTTAGAGAAGATATAAATTATATTAATAATATTTTAAATCTATGATATTTAAATTATTAGTCAATCTATTTAAAATTAACAGTAGTATTATTAAAAAGCATTATTAAAAAGTAATATTAAAAAATATTATTAAAAAATATTATCTTTTATAAAGTGAATATAAAAGTTAATTAAGTAATTATTTTCATCTTATTCTTATCTTAAGAATTAATTATCTTATTATTCTTTATCTTAATATTAAGATTCTTTATCAGTGTTTATATTATAAATTAAATTATATAAGTAATATAAAGAATATAATCTTATTTATTATTTTAGAAATATAAAATTAATTTTTACTTTAAACTCTTTATTATAGTATAGTTATTCATAGTATTATTAATTATAATTGTAAGAAGACTGAGACTAATATCTTAATAATTATTTTTAATCACAGTTATTAATATCTTTATTATATAATTCTTAGTATAATTACTGATTAATGATTTAAATTTAATTAATATCTCTTAATAAGTTCAGTTCTTATTAATATAATAATATATAACTCTTATAAATATAAGATTATTTATACTAGTTTATATATTTACTGTGAGAGACACTCTTTGATAATTCTTTAACTCTGATTCTAAATATTATATATTAACTTTATAATATATCTTAAGATTGAACTGAAGATAGAATTAATATAAAATATAAAGATTTGAATTAAGTATTTAAAGAAGTATTCAGAATTCAGAGTTTTTAATTAATTAAAAAGAAAGATTCAGAGATATATATATATAAAGTAATTATTCACAGAAGTTATCAGATAAGAGTTATAAAATCAGAGTACTAATATATAATTATTTTTATATAATTTTCTTTAAATTAGAAAGTTAGTATTACTAAAAATTATTATTTAATAAAGTAGCTTATCAGCTTAGTAGTAATTTTCTGATTATTTTTCTTTTATTATTTATATTCTAATAACTTCAGATATCAGAAAATTTCTTCAGAGTTTTAATTAGTTTATAATAAATATTTTTAAATAAAGTTATAGTAATTATAGTAGAGAGATAACTCTTCAGTAATCTATAATATAATCTATTAATAATTATTTTATAGTTTATCTCAGTATTTATATTAAGTTTTTTATAAATTTTATAATCTGAAATCAGATATAAAGAATGAAGTGATTATTTATTATAATTAAAAGAGAATATTCTATATTAAATTATAAATAATATAGACTTTGTAATTCACAGTGATTCTTAAAGAGTTTATAAATCTTTAATAGAAGTAAAAGAAGTGAAAGAAGTAAATTCAGAAGATATAATAATAATTTAAGAAAGATAATAATTTATTTTTAATAACTGATCACTGATATATATAAGAAGAATTAATATAAGAGAAAATAATCTTGTTTCTTAGCTTAGTTATAATTTTAGTACTAATTCAAATTGAATATTATTAATGTATAAAAGTAAATAAATAATCTTGATTAATCTCTATCATATTTCTTGAAATATATTAATATTATGAAAGAGAGTATTATCAAATTATATTATCAGATAATATTATTAAAAATATATTAATATTATAAATATTAATATTGAAAAAATGTTAATATTTATACATTATAGTGATTTGTGAATCATGATAGTTAAATATATATATATATATATATTATTTCTGACTTGATTACAACTAGACTGGCCGGTGGAATCATGAATTTCACATTTGATCTCATTTGATCTGATCTCATACATTTCTTGACATGAGTCTCACCAGAATCAAGCCTCAAAAAAATCTGAAAATGGATCATTTCTGAGAGAAATAATATGAAAAATGACCAGATTTAATTCAAGAACAGTGAAATAAGAGTAATTTCTCAATGCTCTGTCAGACCGCTCCACCACGAACTCGCTTGATTTTTCGAATAAGAACCCGCCGATAGATCCATCGAAAAGCCCTCGATCATACGAGCATTTTGACCCCATCACCGACCGCATACCCCGTGTGGTGGTGGAGTTATCCAGCCAAACGTGAACCAGACATCGTTCGGAACTCCTGCGTGGGATTATCCCCCATTCTCCCCTACCACACCACAACCCCGGGCCAAATTGCCATACAAATTGTAAGGTGAAGAGACCTAGCCGTATGCACCAATCTTCTCGATTTTGGAAGATCCCCGATCTGTAGTTGTGAAGATATCTGAGGAGCGACCTCCGCGAAAACCCTGTCCATCTTTGATGTTCCAAAACTCCAACGCCAAGTCCCACCCTCGTACCGCCCTTCCCAATCTGGCCCATCCCCGGCAGAAAAATACAAAAAGATACCTCAGCGATAATATCAAGCACATAACCAACAGACAACAAGTCAACAGCACATCAACAACTATAAAATCAGTATACCCCAAGGTCTGACTGAGCCTTTGATCCCTGCACAGTGAGATATATTAAATCTCATTTTAATATCTCAATATTCAATAGATTCTGCAAGGAATTGAGAACAGCAACACTAGGTTTCTATTGAATTTGAGAATTAACTCTATATTGATATAATCATTGACAAAGTCTTCTATTTTGAGATATAAATAACCAGTTCCTCTACATCCTGCTGACAATATTTATATTATCATATAGAAACAGACTTATATTCTCTATAATATCAAGACTCTGAAGAGAGAAAGTCTTGATAGAGAGTATACAGTAGTGTATATCTTAGCAGTTTCTATCTCATTCTTCTGCAGCAGTCAATGCATAAAAAAAAAAGATCTTAGAAATAGTTTTTTACTTCTCTTGA